TTGGTGGGCATTGACCTTGAGTTTGGAAGTTGTAGTTCACCTACATCCAGAGAGAACTGTGGACTCAAACAATGATGGAGCTGCACCAAACTTGTCACAAGCACTCAATATGCCAGCTATGAACACAGATGGAGTTTGGGGGAAATAGACCTTGACATTTGGGAGTTGTAGTCACTGGGATTCACACTTCACCTACAATCAAAGGGCATTCTGAACCCCATGAATGACAGAATTGGGGAAGACTTCCCACACAGAACCCCATGACCAACAGAAAATAATTAAGGCCATCAGGGCAAGAAAATGTAAATGAATTCCTCCTGACAAAGAGCCATCCCAGCCATAGATATAGATAGATGGATGGATGGATGGATGGATAGATATAGATAGATAGATAGATAGATAGATAGATAGATAGAGATAGATAGATAGATAGATAGATAGATAGATAGATAGATAGATAGATAGATACGATTCACACACACAGAGATATGGTATCATAGATTTGAAAGGGACCCTTAAAGAAGGACAATGATATGTTGCATGTTCCAGGGTGGGCAAACCATACACTCGCCACATCAATACTGACAAACAGCAAGAAATACTGTTTACCCACAAGCATAAAGAAATTACATATATTAGAAACCAACACTTTCTCATTCCCTTTATTTTCCAGATCAACACACTGGGCCACAGCAACGCGTGGCAGGGGACAGCTAGTATACTATATATTCCCCTGGTGGTGCAGTGGGTTAAAGCGCTGAGCTGCTGAGCTTGTTGACCTAAAGGTCGCAGGTTCGATTCCAGGGAGCGGCGTGAGCTCCCACTGTCAGCCCTAGCTTCTGCCAACCTAGCAGTTCGAAAACATGCAAATGTGAGTAGATCAATAGGTACCACTCCGGAGGAAAGGTAACAGTGCTCCATGCAGTCATGCCGGCCACATAACTTTGGAGGTATCTACGGACAACGATGGCTCTTCGGCTTAGAAATGGAGATGAGCACCGCACCCCAGGGTCAGACACGACTGGACTTAATGTCAGGGAACAACCTTTACTATATATATCTCTTCCAGAATCTTAAACATGATGCAGCCTTTCTGCCTTATTTATTATTTACTAGCAGTCCCCTGCCACGCTTTGCTGTGGCCCACATGGGGGTTCTGATGGGCGGGTTTGGCCCAATTCTATCGTTGGTGGGGTTCAGAATGCTCTGTGATTGTAAGTGAACTACAAATCCCAGCAACTACAACTCCCAAATCTCAAGATTCTATTTTCCTCAAACTCCACCAGTGTTCACATTTGGGCACACTGAGGATCCGTGCCAAGTTTGGTCCAGATCCATCATTGCTTGGGTCCACAGTGCTCTCTGGATGTAGGTGAACTACAACTCCAAAACTCAAGGTCAATGCCCACCAAACCTTTCCAGTATTTTCTGTTGGCCGTGGGAAAACTGTGTGCCAAGTTTGGTTCAATTCCATCGTTGGTGGGGTTCAGAATGCTCTGTGATTGCAGGTGAAATATAAATCCCAGCAACTACATCTCCTAAATGAGAAAATCAATTTTTTGAGTGAAGGACATACATTGGGTTGTTAGGTGTCTTGTGTCCAAATTTGGTGTCAATTCATCCAGTGGTTTTTGAGTTCTGTCAATCCCACAAACGAACATTACATTTTTATTTATATAGATTTACTATTTATTTACTATACTTGTATACTGCCTTTCTCAGCCTTATCGGCAACTTATACATTGATAGGAAAGAGAGAGAGAGACTGTTGTACGTATAATATATGTATGTGTCATAACAAAAAATTAATATGCAGATTTGATAACTGTGGATTTAATATGATATATGGTTTGAATGGAAGCATGAAAGATGAATGAATGAGAGCTAATAATTTTGACGACAGCGTTCTAAAATATTAAGGCCTGCAATGACTAACTATCTACTTGCTAGAACTGTAATTAAAACCTGCTAATGAGAACTGAAAAGTAAACTGTGATAAAAACGGTGACAGTGATAAGAGAAATGTTTACAATGTTAAGAAGGAAGTCAACGAGAGGCTAACACCAATCATGAAGAGTCAACATCTGTCCGGAAACTGAGATGGAGCCTGGATGAAAATTGCAGTCAAAATCCTATGCTTTGGAGTCATTGAAAAGTTATTCATGACATATGTGTAAGAGAAATAAGATATTAACAAAGATAATTATTTTCTAGAAGGCACAAAATATTTAGTTAGGAACAGGACTGAGATAAAGATGTGGTGAACTGTTATTTAGTTTACTACAAATCCCCAAGCCTATATTTTTTTCTTAGAAATTTGTTAAAGCTTATGTATAACAGTGTCCTAATGAGTATTGCTAAATATCTTGCTCCAAGCATCTGTGATCACAAGCATCTGGCCTCATATATGGGGGGAAAAGAATCATAACTATGAAAGGGATGCCAAAGGAGGAGTAGTTCTGGGTGAAATTGAAGACAACCTTCTTTCTTGGGTCACTCCAGGTTAAGAACAAAAGAACGAAAGAATGAAAGAATGAAGGAACAAAGGAACAGGGGGAGGAATGGAGGGAGAGAAGGAAGGAATGAAGGAAGGAGAGGGAGGAAAGAGAGGAGGAAGGAAGGACAAAAGGAAAAAAGAAAGGAGAAAAACGGAGGAAAGAGGCAAGGAAGGAAGGATGAAAAGGTGGAAGGGAAGGAAGGAAGGAGGAAAGGGTGGAAGGGAATGATGGATGTAAGGAAAGAAGGYAAGAATGGAGAAAGGGAAGAATAAATGAAAGAGAGAAYGAAGAAAAGACAAAAAGGAAGGAAGGGTGGAAGGAAGAGTGGAAGGGAATGGAGGGAGAAAGAAGGAAGGAAGGAAGGAGAAAGAGGGAGAGAGGGAGGAAAGAGGCAAAGAAGGAAGGACAAAAAGGTGGAAGAGAAGGACAGAAGGGTGGAAGGAAAGGATGGAAAGGAGGAAGGAAAGGAGGAAGGAAAGGCAAAAGGGAGGGAAGGGAAGAGAAGGAAGGAAGGTAAGGATAAAGGAAAGAGAGAAGGAAGGCAGGACAAAGGGGAAGGAAAGAAGGAGAAAGAGAGGGAGAGAGGGAGGAAAGAGGAAAGGAAGGAAGAAAAGGCGGAAGGTTGAAAGGGTGCAAGGATGGAAGGAAGAGAAGGAGGAAGGAAAGACAAAAGGGAGGGAAGAATGAAGGGTGYAAGCGAAGGATGGATGGATGGATTGATAGAAGGTAAGAGAGAAGGAAGGAAGGGTGGAAGGGATGAAGGGAATGGAGGGATGGAGAAAGAGGGAGGGGAGGGAGAAAAGAGAAAGGGAAGAAAAGACAAAARGGATGGAAAGAAGGAAAAGAGGGAGAGAGGGAAGGAAGGACAAAAGGGTGGAAGGGAAGGCAGGAGGGAGGGAGAAAGAGGGAGGTAAGGAAGGGACGAAGGGAAGGAAAAGGAAAGAGAGGAAGGAACAAAAGGACAAAAGAGTGGAAGGGAAGGAGAAAGAGGGAGGGAAAGAGGAAGAAAAGAGGGAAGGAAAGAAGGATAGGATGGTGAGAAAGAGGAGGGCCTGAGAAAAGAGCCCAAGGGGCCGCATACAACCCCCGGGCTTGGATTTGCCCATACCTGATCTGTCTTGTGGAATTAATGCTATGGAATCTTGGGAGCTGTAGTTTTACAGCGTCGTGAACCTTCTCTGCCAAAGAGGGCTGGTGCCTCTGTGCACTACAAATCCCAGGATCCCATGGAAGGAAGGAAGGAAGGTTGACAATCTGGTGCCCCCCTACCATGAGATTACTTAAAAGTGTTCCAATGCCTTGGATCCCAAAGCAAGCAGAGTCACTAAACTCTGGAGCAATGGGTTATACCAACATTTGTCAACCTGGGGGTCAGGACCACTGGGGGGATTGTGAGGGGGTGTTAGAGGGGTCACCAAAGACCATCAGAAAACACAGTATTTTCTGTTGGTCATGGGATTCTGTGTGGGCAATTTGGCCCATTCTACTATTATAGTTCCCCTACAATCAAAGAGCATTCCGACCTCCACCAATGATGGAAGTGAACCAAACTTGGCACACAGAACTCCCATGACCAACGGAAAATAATGGAAGGGTTTGATGGGCATTGACCTTGAGTTTTGGCATTGTAGTTGTAGTTCACCTACATCCAGACAGCACTGTGGACTCAAACAATGATGGATCTGGACCAAACTTGGCACGAAGACTCCACATGCCCAAACATGAACACTGGTGGAGTTTGGGGAAAATAGACCTTGACATTTGGGAGTTGTCATTGCTGGGATGTATAGTTCACCTCCAATCAAAGAGCATTCTGAACCCCACCAAGGATAGAATTGGGCCAAACTTCCCATGGAGAACCCCCACGACCAATAGAAAATACTGTGTTTTCTGATGGTCTTTGGTGACCCCTCTGACACCCCCGTGCAACCCTCTCAGGGGTCCCGACCTCCAGGTTGAGAAACGCTGGTTTAGAGGGCGGGCTGATCAAGTTTGCAGATGGGACCAAATTGGGAGGGATAACTAATACTCCAGAAGACAGGATCAGGCTCCAAAATTACCTTCACAGATAAGAACTGAATGGCCGAAAGTAACGTATTTCAACAAGGGCAAATGTAAAATACGGATGAATTTCAACAAGGACAAATGTAAGATACAGCACTGAGGCAAAAAAATCAAATGCAAAGATATAGAATGGGTGATGCCTGACTCAGTAACAGAACATGGGAATGAGATCTTGGAGTCTTCGTAGAGAACAAGTTGAACATAAGTCAACAATGTGATGCAGCAGTTAAAAAAGCCAATGGGATTTTCAGCTGCATCAAAAGGAGTCTAATGTCTAGATCAGTGGTTCTCAACCTGGGGTCCCCAGATGTTTTTGGCCTTCAACTCCCAGAAATCCTAACAGCTGGTAAACTGACTGGGATTTCTGGGAGTTGTAGGCCAAAAACATCTAGGGACCCCAGGTTGAGAACCACTGGTCTAGATCAAGGGAAGTCTCTGATCTTCTGCTTTGGTTAGACCACCTGGAATAATAACCCTGTGATCAATTCTGGGCATCACAATTTAAGAGAGATATTGACAAGCTGGAAAATGTCCAGAGGAGGATGACTGAAATGATCAATGGTCTGGAGACCATGAGTAATCAGTATGAGGGGTGGCTTAAAGAGCTGGGTCTGTTTAGCCTCCTGAAGAGAAAGGTGAGAGGTGACATAATCACCATGCTTAAGTTTGTGAAAGGATGTCATGAGGAAGCTTGTGTCTGATGGTCTGGAGAAGAACAAAGCCATGGGTTCAAACGACAGAAAAGGAGATTCCACCAGAAAATGAGGAAGAACTTACTGACTGAAAGAAGAGCTAGTCAACAGTGGAACTCTTTGCCTCTGAGTCCAGTGGATACTCCTTCTTTAGAGGCTTATAAACAGAGGCTGGATGGCCATATGTCCAGGGAGGGGGCCTTTGATGGTGCTATTCTTGCATGGAAGGGGTTGAACTGGATGACCCCTGTGGTCTCTTCCAACTCTATGACTATGATGAGTCACTTTCCTTTTTCACTGACTCACTGGGATTTATTGGGCTTCTGGGCCACTAGGAACAATGTGGCCTTGGCATCAGTGATGGCAGCCGGATAATCAAACACAAGAACCTCAGAGGACACAATATCAAAGCCAGCCCCTTTCAGAACATCCTCAACCATTTCTGGTTTCAGGTAAAGGCAAGAGAACTTGTTTGGCCCCACCATGTAGAAGGTTTCTTCAAGAGCCACCACCAAGATGAGGTGTCCTCCAGGTTTGATCAAGGAGCCCATGTTCTTCATGGCTGACTGATAGGAAGGAAGGTCTCCACAAGCTCCTTCTGCACAGTAAGTGGAGAGGACACAGTCGGCTGGATCCACCTGCACCGGGTCAAGAGGGTTAGCCAAAGTCACGTCACACTTCAGGACTTGCTTGATGGCCTTCCTGAGCTTCTCCTCCTTTTCCATCCACTTCTCCCTGTGGGGAATGAAAGGGGGAGATTGTTCCAATCATGAAGGAATCTCCTAAGTTTAGAATTAATTCATGAGAAGATGCAGAGTTATTTGTAATATCATGAGAGAGGAAAACAGAATTAATTTAGACCTCAGACATAATTTTGAGGAAAGAGGCAACAAAGGTCGTGAGTGGTACAAACTTTGTCCTAATTTCCATTAAATTGGAAGGGTAGGGATGAAGGAAGCATAATTAACTCAAGCCAATATCATGTATAGATTTGAATGTTATTCTCAGTCTTTAGGAGTCAAGGGTTCAATTTGGTCACAGAAGACTATCTGTGGACCTTGGACCAGTCTTACTCTCTCAGTCTCTGAAGAAGACCATGGCAAACTTTGGGCAAGTGTGGATGTTGGATTAAGATGGGAACTGTGTGCCAACCAATGACACATTAATCTTTTGAGYACCACAAACTKTCAYRTYAAATGATACACAGCAGGCATCAGATGCCACCTCCATCTCTCCGTACCTGTCTCCCTCCAGCTGGCAAACATATTTCAACACCGGGYCCCAGTCGAAAGTTTCTGGATCTTTTTTCAGCCACRTCTTCATCTCCTCTCGGTTCTGCTCAAGGAAATCACTGGCAATGATCTCTTTGAAGGACTCYCAGGCGGAGAGGAGCTGGTGAATGCAGGGACCGCTGCCAATATCGATCAAGGTGTCTCCTRGGATSCCARCTGTGTTTCAAAGAAACCATGAAATTGCCCTCCTCTTYATCCTTAACACTTTTTTCTATATCCACATTCTTGCTCATTTCCCATGCTAATGGGGGATGACGGAGGAAGGTGCYTCAAGCCAACCCCGATCGGGACCGCCTTCCGCCTGGAAACCAATGCCCTCGCTACGGGAGAAGATGCAGATCAAGAATAGGGCTCCACAGACACCTATGGACCCATCCTGGAGGATTATCTTACTCGGACAACAAGGGATCGCCTAAGTAAGTAAGTAAGTAAGTAAGTAAGTAAGTAAGTAAGGGGGGTGATGGAATTGCCTGTCCATTCCATTAGGAGGGTGGGCTCTATTTGGGGGATGTTAACCTTCCACTTTCACCTGTGGAACTGCTATAATTTCCCCCATCCCAGTTTGTTTGCACAGGGATAATGAGTTGGATGCCAGGGTCATTTGCATCTTAGTTTAATACTTTAATAATTTCCCATTTGGGTGAGTTACAGACTCTCATCCCCAGAAACCCCCAGGATAGGGGTCACTGAGGGTCACCATAGATCAGAATCAACTTGAAGGCACATAACAACCCTGCGGTGTTTGACTGAGACCATTGCTGTTGTTGCTGCCCATTGATGTTTATGTTTATTTAGACTAGGGATCCTCAAACTTTTTAAACAGAGGGCCAGATCACAGTCCCTCAAACTGTTGGAGGGCTGGATTACAATTTGAAAAAACATCAATGAATTATTATGCACACTGCACATTTCTTATTTATAGTACAAAAAAAACCCACTTAAAAACAATACAATAATTAAAATGAAGAACAATTTAAACAAATATAAACTTATTAATATTTCAATGGGAAGTGGGGGCCTGCTTTTGGCTGATGAGATAGGATTGTTGTTGTTGTTGTGTGCTTTCAAGGCGTTTCAGACTTAGGTTGACCCAGAGCGAGGGCCGGGTAAATGACCTTGGAGGGCCGTATCCGGCCCCCAGGCCGTAGTTTGAGGACCCCTGATTTAGACACTGCTTTTTCTCTTCACAAAGGACTTTACATTAAAAGTATTTCAATACAACCTAGAAGGGGAGGGGGTCCCATTACCCACGGCAAGTTAAAGAAACCACAATGCAATGCCAAATACTTCTGATGGAACAGATGACTCCCCCCTTTGAAACTGGCTTTGGTAGATCCCCTTTTCTAGGCCGGCCCCACATTTCCATCCCTTGGGCTCCTGTCCCCACTTCACCCCTCCCTAAGTGGGACAGCATTAGCTACATTGGTATGAAATCCAATCTGTTGCAAGCAACGGGGAGACAGTGCCGCAAAACTCACCCTTTGCGAATGCCTTGTGAAGCTTGTCCAGAATAGTAGCAAATGCAGTTCCGCTGTTCAGAGAGTCACCAGACTCGAAAGATAGATACATGTTTAAATAATTTTTTGGGCAGAATTTTTGCTTGTAAACTTCTTTCCCCGTGAATTCTCCTGCCATGATGCCTCTGAGCCCACAATATACTCAAATGCCCTGCTCCTGTAGCCTCTTGGTTCACAGCCACTCCCTTTGCAATTGCCTGGATTCAGGCACATGATCCAAGAGGAGGGGCCGGTATCTAAATGGGATCTGTGTTCCTCCAGCTCTGGAAAACCTCCTGGAGCTGCATTCCCTCAAGCAAGGAGTCAGGAATGTGGTCCCACTCCCAAGACTCCGGGGTGGGATGTTACAATGCCACAGAATGGCCCAGCTGCATTCCCTCAAACAAAGAGTCAAAGCCTCACAACCTCTGAGGATGCCTGCCATAGATGCAGGCGAAACGTCAGGAGAGAATGCTTCTAGAGCATGGCCATACAGCCCAAAAAACCTCCAACAACCCAGTGATTCCGGCCATGAAAGCCTTCGACAATACAGTCAGGAATATGATCCCATTCCCAAGACACCCGATGGCACAGAATAGCCCAGCTCTGTAATCTATTAAGGCCATTTCAGATTCTGAACCTGTCCTCTGGAATATTACCTCTCCCTCCCAATTAGTCTGGCATTACTTGTATTTTAAAAATCTATGTTTACTTGCAACTAGCTGTCCCCTGCCACGCGTTGCTGTGGCCCAGTTTGGTAATCTGAAAAATAAAGAGAAAGGGTTGGTTTCTGATATATGTAATTTGTTTATGCTTGTGGGTAAACCGTATTTCTTTGTCAGTGTTGAAGTAGAGATTGTCTAGTTTGCCTACTCTGGAACATGCAACATATAATTGTCCTTCTTTAGGGGTCCCTTTCAAATCTATGATACTATATCAGTCATGTGTGTGTGTGTGTGTGTGTGTGTGTGTGTGTGTGAATCATATATATATCCATCTATATCTCTGGCTGGATGGCTCTCTGTCAGGAGGGCTTTGATTATGTTTTCTTGCTCTGCTGAAAGGAGTTGGACTGGATGGTCTTAAGTCTTTTCTGTTGGTCGTGGGGCTTCTGTGTGGGAAGTTTGCCCCGATTCTGTTGTTTGTGGTGTTCAGAATGCTATTTGACTGTAGATGAACTGTGAATCCCAGTAACAACAACTCCCAAATATCAAGGTCTATTTCCCCCAAACTCCATCTGTGTTCATATTTGGGCACATTGAGTGCTTGTGCCAAGTTTGGTCCAGATCCATCATTGTTTGAGTCCGCAGTGCTCTCTGGATGTAGGTGAACTACAACTCCCAAACTCAAGGTCAATGCCCACTAAACCCTTCCAGTATTTTCTGTTGGGCATGGGAGTTCTGTGTGCCAAGTTTGGTTCAATTCCATAGTTGATGGAGTTCGGAATGCTCTTTGATTGTAGGTGAACTATAAATCCCAGCAACTACAACTCCCAAATGACAAAATCATAATTTTTTGAGTAATGGTCACTCCTTGTGTTGTTAGACATTTTGATGCAAATTTGGTGTGATTTCGTTCATTGGTTACTTTGTTTTTAAGCTACCCATTATGCACAGAGCATTTATATATATATATAGATGATAACAGCATTGTTTGACATGGAAAATAATATTTCCTTTCTGGCCAAATATTGGTATCATATCTTTACAAGAAGAAAAATGTTGTTTTCGGTGGAAAACAAATCCATGAGAATTTTGTGTGATATGAGTCCTGAGCAGGGAATTTTGTAGTCAGCTCTGGGTTCTTCTTATCAGGCTTCTCGGCAGCTGAGAAACACTTTTGAAATCTTTCTTTGAAGTTTTCCACATATTCTTCCCATTCCTAAGTCACATCCAGTCACAGTTCACTTCCCACAATGTATCTTTTTTGCAAAATTGTTTTTAATTCAAATATTTGCTCTTTTGACAGATCACAAATGATGCCCCCACATCTATAGAATGGGTGTATTTTCCAAAAGATCAAGAAGGCCTCTTTCACCTCACATGCTTGCAAGAGCTAACTGAAGATAGACAGACAGACAGACAGATAGATAGATAGATGCCAATACACACATATATATCTCATAACCTGAAATCTGCTTTCCTGTCCCCCTTGATATAGTTTTGGATAATCTTTAACTTCTTAAGTATTACAAACACCAGAACCCCCAAGATAACACAGCCATTGGTATATTCTAAGAATTGTCTCCTCCAAAAAGTGATTGTTACTATCAAATCCCAGGTATGTGGTCAGTGAATTCCTTCCAGGTTTTGGATTGTTTGAATGGAGCTCTCCAAGGTACGGGGGCTATTTGGGAATAGAGTTCAGCACCTTGGATAGCTCCTATAGGATCTGGGTTAAAACATAGAGTTACTTTGGCATGGCATGGTCCACCTGTTTCTGTGTTTCTAATCTAGAGATCAAAGACCTGGAGAATGGTCATCCTTTGTGGCTTCTCTATGGTAAGTTTCGATCCTTTTTCATTAACTCACTGGGTTTAGTTGGGCTTCCGGGCCACTAGAAACAGTGAGTCATATGCATCACATATGCCTGGGGGGAAAGTAAACCCAATAACCTCAGAGGTCACAGAATCAAAGCCAGCCCCTTTCAGAACATCTCTAACCACTTCTGGTGTCAGGTAAAGGGAGGAGAACTTGTTTGGCCCCACCATGTAGAAGGTTGCTCCAAGAGCCACCACCAAGATGAGGCATCCCCCAGGTTTGACCAAGGAGAACAAGTTCTTCATGGCTGAACGGTAAATGGAGAGATCTTTACAAGCTGCTTCTATGCAGTAAGTGGAGAGGACACAGTCAGCCAGATGGACCACCACTGGGTCAAAAGGGTTGGCCAAAGTCACGTCACACTTCAGGACTTGCTTGATGGCCTTCCTGAGCTTCTCCTCCTTTTCCATCCACCTTTCCCTGCAAGAAATGAAAGGGGGAGATTGTTGCAATAATGCAGGAATCTTCTAAGTTTGGAAGCAATGCATGAGAAGATGCAGTTATTTGCAATTTTAGAAGGGAGGTAAACATAATGAACTTGCACCTGAGACATAATTTTGAGAAGAGAGGCAACAAAAGTCAAGAATACTGAAAAATTTGCTGTGCTTTCTCATAAACTGGAAGCAGCATGTTAAAGCTAAAGTAGGAATGAAGGGAGCATAATGAACTCAAGCCAATATGATATATAGATTTGAATGTTATTCTCAGTTTCTAGGAGACAAGAGTTCAATTTGGTCACAGAAGCCTATCTGTGGACCTTGGGCCATTCTTACTCTCTCTGTCTCTGAAGAAGACCATGGCAAACTTTCGGGAAGTGTGGGTGTTGGATTAAGATGGGAACTGTGTGCCAAACAATGACACATTAATCTTTTGAGGATCACAAACTCTCAGCTAAAACAATACACAACAGTCATCAGACACCACCTCCATCTCTCCATACCTGTCCCCCTCCAGCTGGCAAACATACTTCAACACCGGAGCCCAGTCGAAAGTTTCTCGATCTTTTTTCAGCCACTTCTTCACCTCTTCTCGGTTCTGCTCAAGGAAATCACTGACAATGATCTCTTTGAAGGACTCACAGGCAGAGAGGAGATGGTGGATGGATGGACCACTCCCAATATCGATCAAGGTGTCTCCTCGGATGCCATCTGTGTTTCAAAGGAACCATGAAATTGCCCTTTCTCTTAATCTTTGACGACTTCTTCTATATCCACATGCTTGCTCATTTCTCTTCTGATGGGTGATTGATTGTCCATTCTATTGGGTGGGCCCTATTTGGGGGATGTTAACCTTCTACTTTCACTTGTGGAATCACTATAATTCCCTCCTCCCAGTTCATTTGCACAGGGCTGAGGAGATAAATCCCAGTGCCCACTAGCCTTTTGGCTCATGGGCACAGCAGCACTTTAGACACTGAACTCGGACAATAGAATTGTTTGAAAATTTGAAATGGCTTTATGACCTGTGATTATGTGATTTGTTCTATGTAATTATGTAATTTTAATTAATATCACTGTTTAATTGCTATGTAATGGATTTTATATTGCTGTTTTATATTGTTGTTTTGATACTGTTGGCATTGAATTGTTGCCTGTGTTAGCCACCCTGGGTCCCTCTCGGGGGTGAGAACGGTGGGGTAGAAATGGTCTAAATAAATAAATAGATCCCAGTGTCATTTAATAGTGTGCATCTTAGTTTAATACTTGCAAATCAGGATTCAATTGCCCCCTGGGAGACCTTGGGTGAGTTACAGACTCTCAGCCCCAGAAACCCCCAGGACAGGGGTCACTTAGGGACACTAATTTGGCCAAAATGCACATTGAAAACGGAACGAGAACCGACCGAAAATCGGCACCCAAAATGTGACAGGTGTTTTCCAAATTGCACACTTACAATATGAATGGAACGGATGACTCTCCCACTCTGAAGCTAGCTTTGGCAGATCCCCTTTTCTAGGCTGGCCCCACATTTCCATCCCTGTCCCCACTTCATCCCTTCCTAAATGGGGACAGCATTAGCTGCATTGGTATGAAATCCAATCTGTTGCAAACAACAGGGAGACAGTCCAGAAAAACTCACCTTTCGTGAATGCCTTGTGGAGCTTGTCCAGAACGGTAGTGAATGCATTTCCGTAATTCAATGAGTCTTCGGACTCAAAAGATAGATACGTGCTTAAATAATTTTTTGGACAGAATTTTTGCTTGTAAACCTCTTTTCCCGTGAATTCTCCTTCCATGATGCCTCTGAGCCCACAATGTACAAAATGCTTTTTTGCTTCTGTAGCTTCTTGGTTAACAGCCACACCCTTTGTGATTGCCTGGATTCAGAGGAGGGGCTTGTATGTAAACAGGAACTGTATTCTTCCAGCTCTGGAAAACCACCAAGAGCTGCATTCCCTCAAACAAGGAGTGAGAAATGTGATCGGACTCCCAAGTCTCCGAGAACTGGATATTGCAATGCCACAGAATGGTCCAGCTCTGAAATCGATTAAGGGCATTTTGGATTCGGATTCTGTCCTCTGGAGTATTAGCTCTCCCTCCCAATTAGTCTGGCATGACTTGTTCTTTTAGAAATTTGTGTTGACTTGTAGTGATCATAGTATTGTTTTGCATGAAAAATAGTGTTCCCTTTCTGGCCAAATATTGGACTCATATATTTGCAAAAAGAAAATGTTGTTTTCAGGACAGTAAGTGGAGAGGACACAGTCGGCCGGATGGACCTCCACCGGGTCAAAAGGGTTGTGGGAGTTGAATTGTGGGAGTTGAAGTCCAAAACACCTGGAGGGCCAAAGTTTGCCTGTGCCTGGTGTAAAAGATGCCTTCTTGGTCTTTTGGAAAATACACCCATTCAATAAATTTGAGGGCATCATTTGTGATCTGTAAAAAAAAAAGCAAATATTTTGCAAAAAATAATCATTGTGAGAAATGAACTGTGTTTGGATGTGACTTAGGAATGGGAATAATGTGTGGAAATATTCAAAGAAAACTTTCAAAGGTGTTTCTCAGCTATTGAGAAGCCCAATAAGATGAGCCCAGAGGTGAATACAATATTCGCTGCTCGGGACTCATAGCACGCAACATTCTCATGGACTCGTTTTGCCTTGAAAACAACAATTTTTCTCTGCAAGGACATGATACTGATATTTAGCCAGGAAGGAAGTGCTATTTTCTGTGCAAAACAAGCACATGTGGATTTTGTGCAGAATAAAAGTCCATGAGAATTTTGCATTTTGAGTCTAGAGCAGCAAATATTGTAGTCAGCTCAAAGCCAGCCTTAAAAACTGTGGCATAGACTTTGAGAACTGGGAATCTTTGACCCTTGAGCGCTCTAGCTGGAGGTCAGCCGTGACCAGCAATGTTGTAGAATTTGAAGAGGCATGGAGGGAAAAAGAGAGAAATGTGCCAAGAGGAAGGTGCGTCAAGCCAACCCCAACCGAGACCGCCTCCCACCTGGAAACCGATGCCCAAACTGTGGGAGAACATGCAGGTCAAGACTAGGGCTCCACAGTCACCTATGGACCCACCGCCAGGGCACTGAACTTGGAGGACAATCTTACCCGGACAACGAGGGATTGTCTAACAGAATAGTCTGCTCTGTGGGCTTCTCAGCAGCTGAGAAATAATGGTTGCTTACCTGTACCATTACTGCTCAAGCAGGGAGCTTTGAGATGGTTGAACAGAAGCTCTCCGAAGCTCTAGGTGCTCTTACTGCCTATTACAGGGAAAACCAGCTGATCCCTAATCCATCTAAAACACAGACATGCTTTTCACCTTAAGAACAGACAAGCACCCTGAGCTCGGAGGATCACTTGGGAAGGAATCTCACTGGAGCATTGCACATACCCAAATACCTAGGAGTCACTCTGGACCGTGCTCTGACCTACAAGAAGCACTGCCTGAACATCAAGCAAAAAGTGGGTGCTAGAAACAATATCATACGAAAGCTGACTGGCACAACCTGGGGATCACAACCAGACACAGTGAAGACATCTGTCCTTGCGCTATGCTACTCTGCTGCTGAGTATGCATGCCCAGTGTGGAACACATCTCACCACGCTAAAACTGTGGATGTGGCTCTTAATGAGACATGCCGCATTATCACAGGGTGTCTGCGCCCTACACCACTGGAGAAATTACACAGTTTAGCCGGTATTGCACCACCTGACATCCGCCGGGAAGTAGCAGCCAATAGTGAAAGGACCAAGGCAGAGACATCTCCAGCTCATCCCTTGTTTGGGTATCAGCCAGCACGTCAACGACTTAAATCAAGAAATAGTTTTCTAAGCTCTACAGAGACACTCGCTGGAACACCTCAGCAAGCGAGAGTCCAAAAGTGGCAGGCTCAAACCCAGAACCTCAACCAATGGCTGATACCAAATGAGAGACTCCCCCCTGGGCATACAGAGGACTGGGCGACTTGGAAGGCGCTGAACAGACTGCGCTCTGGCACCACGAGATGCAGAGCCAACCTTCAGAAATGGGGCCACAAAGTGGAATCCATGACATGCGAGTGGGGAGAAGAGCCAACCACTGACCACCTGCAATGCACCCTGAGCCCAGCCACATGCACAATGGAGGACCTTCTTGCGGCAACACCAGAGGCACTCCAAGGGGCCAGATACTGGTCAAAGGACATTTAATCAACTACCAAGCTTGCAAATTCTGTGTTTTGTCTGTTGGTTTGTTTGTTTTTGTTAATAATGTAATACAAATGTTGCTGATGACACGATAAAAAAATAAATAAATACCTGTAACCATTAGGCCTGTGCGGTTTCGTTCGTTAATTCGTTAATTCGTTAATAATTCGTTAATTTTACCATTTCCGAAGCGATATCGAAACATATTTCCAAACCCGGAAGGGTTTATAAATATCGAACCAGCAGCCCCCATAGTTTTAACGAGCCTCCGCTCGTTTCGTTAATGGGGTGGAGGCTGCTGGAGTGCTGGTGCCTGGGAGCCAATCCGGCGCTCCCAAGCAGTGCACCATGGGTCCGTGGCTGTCTGTTTTTGATTGGCCGGCGAGCCCTTTCAAAGCGGCTCCGCGCGGCCCGTAGCTTGCTGCAGAGGGCGAGGGAGTTTGCATTGGGTTGGCTTGGCAATGGCTGCTAGCAACTGGGATTGGATTCATTCCTTGCTGCTGTGAGTGCTGCTTGCTTCATTTGCTGTCTCTTGCCTGTGTTTGGTCCACATTTGGGCCATTTTTTGGTTAATTTTCCATTTTAAAATATTTTTAATATTATTTTTAATATTAATATTATTTTTTAATATTATTTTTTAATATTATTTTTTAATATTATTCTTAAAAAATATTCTAAAAAAGAAAAGACTCTTCTGTTGGTGTGTGCTCTCATTTGCTGTATCCTGCCTGTGTTTGGTCCACATTTGGGCCATTTTTTGGTTAATTTTCCATTTTAAAATATTTTTAATATTATTTTAATATTATTTTTTAATATTATTTTAATATTATTTTTAAAAATATTCTAAAAAAGAAAAGACTCTTCTGTTGGTGTGTGCTCTCATTTGCTGTATTGTGCCTGTGTTTGGTCCACATTTGGGCCATTTTTTGGTTAATTTTCCATTTTAAAATATTTTTTAATATTATTTTAATATTATTCTTAAGAAATACCAAAAATATTCTAAAAATTCGTTAATATTTACAAATTTCTTAAATACCAAAACTTTTTTTTGGAAAGTTTTGTAATTATTTTAAATATCGAAACAAAAAAACACCCCAATTACAAATCGATTTTAGAACCAAATTTTTTCTTGATCAAACAGGCCTAGTACCATGTTTCTTTGAGTAGTCATCTGTGAAATTAGCACATAGGGTAGTTGATGCACCTGTGCAGCAATCAACAAAACCTTCTGGAAATCTTTCAGACTTGCACTATGGCCCCGCCCACATTCCCCAGGAGACAATATAGGTCGTGGGCAGGGCAGTAGCCCTTAGTTCCCTGCAGCTTGAAGTCTGAAGCATGTACTGCAGAAAGGATGGACAGTGATGTGTTTATTCACAGATGACCACTCAAAGAAACATGGTTACAGGCAAGCAACCATTATTTCTCCTTAGTGGTCTGTGGTGAAATGAGCACATATGGTAGACTAGCAAGTCATATACTTTGGTTGGCGAGCATCATGCCACTGCCGAGAAGAGGACCGCTCTGCCAAACGCATTATGTCTCTGAGACTGGACATCCATCTTATAATGTGTTGCAAATGTGAGTGGGTTGGACCAAATCGCTGCTCGACAGAGGGATGTCACATAGATATGCCAGTGATGCAGCAACTGCCCTAGTAGAGTGGGCTCTTACATGGCACAGAGGATCCTTGCCAGCTACTTGGTAAGCCAGCTTAATGATAGAGACTATCCATGCTGACAAATGTTAAGGTGCACTGGGATTATGGTGCAGCTGGCTGAGTGTCAGCTGCATTAAGATCACTCTGACCAAAAGGTCATGAGTTCGAAGCCAGCCCGGGTTGGAGTGGGTTTCCAACCAATTGTGTGTAGCCTGTTGTCGACCTTTGCAACCCGAAAGACAGTTGCATCTGTCAAGTAGGAAAATAAGGTACCACCTTAAAGTGTGGGAATGCTAAATTAACTGATTTATGAGGCCATAAAGAAGACTCCAGCAAAGCATTCCAGCGGGGAAGCATGCGGGGAATGCGGAAGTGCTTCATTAGCGTCGCAGATGGACGATGAAAGCGACAGCTCCCCTGACGGCCAGAAAAAGTTAAATAGCCTCTGTGTATGTCTGTATATGTTTGTATGTCAAAAATTGGCATTGAATGTTTGCCATATATGTGTACACTGTAATCCGCCCTGAGTCCCCTGCGGGGTGAGAAGGGCGGAATATAAAAGCTGTAAATAAATAAATAAAATAAATAAATTGGTGACATCACAGTATTTTTCAAAGACCTTGGGGTCTGGTGAAAGTCCTTGGTTCTGTCCAAGTAAAAGACTAGTACGGGCATCGAGAAAGTGAAGGGAGCATTCCATGGCCTTGGAAGGATTCTGAAAGAACCTTGGTAGTATAATTCCCTGGACCATGTGGAAGGCCGAAGCAACCTTAGGTTGTTCTGTAGGACAACCTTGTCATGGTGAAATGCAGACAAGGCTCATCCGCTCGTAGTGCACAGAGCTTGCTCACCCAGGGAGCAGATGTAATTGCCACTAGAAAGACAGTATCCTGTGACAGATGGGAGAGGTCGGCAGAAGCCCTTAGCTCAAAAGGAGCCTTCATGAGTGCTGATGAAACCAAATTTAATTGCCATGACAGAGGCAGAGGGTTTACCGTAGGCCAAAGATTTCTACAGCCTCTGAGAAAGTTGTGTGAAGGAGTCCTGAAAATATGAGGGATGGGGGGCACTCACCTGAAGTATGCAGAGATCGTGGTGAGATAACAAGGGATGACAAGGCAAGGCCATCTTGCTTGAGTGTCTTGAGAAAGTTGAGGAGTAGCGGTGTTGGTGCCTCTAGTGATTATACGTTACGCTGCTGGGTGAAGGCAGGAAAGCGCTTCCACTTTGTTGCATAGGGCTGTCGTGTTGAGGGTTTATGTGTGGCACTAATGATGTCCATCTTAGAGAATGCAGACAAATCCACCATGCTGTGAGGCAGAGGGTGTCCAGGTCGAGTTGAAAAACCACATCTCTTTGAGTAGTGAGGAGATTGGGACATTTCAACAGGAGGAGATAATCTCCTGCAGCCACCATACTCAGATGAGTGAACCAGGGCTGCCACGGGGTCTATGGTGTGAGTAGGATGCCCTTGATGTTCAACAGAGGTTACCAACAGGTTGAGGTAGAACAGGGGACCGTGCCAGTTGAACAGAAATGCTTCCCTTAGACACCACTGCTGTTCGTTCATCGGCCTCCTTGCACATTGATAGAGACACTTGGTGTTCCTTTTTGCAAAATTGTTTTTAATTCAAATATTTGCTCTTTTTACAGATCACAAATGATGCCCCAAATCTATAGAATAGGTGTATTTTCCAAAAAAAATCAAGAAGCTGTCTTTAAATTACATGCCAATCCTTAAGAGATAGAGAGATAGATAGATAGATAGATAGATAGATAGATAGATAGATAGATAGATAGATAGAGATAGATAGATGATAGATAGATAGATAGATAGATAGATAGATAGATAGATAGATAGATAGATAGATAGATAGATAGATAGATAGATAGATAGATAAGATAGATAGATAGATAGATAGATAGATAGATAGATAGATAGATAGATAGATAGATAGATAGATAGAAGATAGACAGATAGATGGATAGATAGGTAGATAGATACAACATAGATAGATAGATAGATAGATAGATAGATAGAAGATAGATAGATAGATAGATAGATAGATAGATAGATAATCTATCTATCTATCTATCCATCTATCCATCTATCCATCTATCTCAGTGTTTCTCAACCTGGGGGTCGGGACCCCTGAGGGGGTTGTGAGGGTGTGTCAAAGGGGTCACCAAAGACCATCAGAAAACATAGTATTTTCTGTTGGTCATTGGGATTATGTGTAGATAGTTTGACTCAATTCTATTGTTGGTCGAGTTCAGAATGCTCTTTGATTGTAGGCGAACTATAAATCCCAGCAACTACAACTCTCAAATCTCAGGGTCTGTTTTCCCCAAACTCCACCAGTGTTCACATTTGGGCATATTGAGTATTCATGCCAAGTTTGGTACAGATCCATTATTGCATGAATCCACAGCACTCCTCTGGATATAGGTGAACTACAACTCCCAAACTCAAGGTCAATGCCCACAAAACCCTTCCAGTTTTTTCTGTTGGTCGTGGGAGTTCTGTGTTCAGTTTTGTTTAAGTCCCTCATTGGTGGAGTTCAGAATGCTCTTTGATTATAGGTGAACTATACATCCTAGCAACTACAACTCCCAAATTACAAAATGAATCCTCTCCCAACCCCACTAACATTCACATTTGGGCATATTGGGTATTTGTGCTCAATTTAGTCCAGTGAATGAAAATACACCCTGCATTACCGGATATTTACATTACGATTTATAACAGTACTAAAATGACAGGTATGAAGTAGCAACAAAAACAATATTATGGTGGGGGTCACCACAACATATGGAATGGCATTAAGGGGTCATGGCATTAGCAAGGTTGAGAACCACTGATCTATCTGATAGACAGACAAGATAGATAGATAGATAGATAGATAGATAGATAGATAGATAGATAGATAGATAGATAGATGCTAAGAGACACATATATATCCCATATATATCTCCCCCTTGATATGGAAAAATGGTTGCTTTCATAAGTGTTAGAAATACCAGAACCCCCAAGACAACATAGCCATCAGTATATTCTAAGAATTATGATCTCAGAAAAGCAATTGCTACTATTGACTCCCATGTTGGTTCATCAGTGAATTCCTTCCAGGTTTTGGATTGTTTTAATGGAGCTCTCCAAGGTTCTGGAGTTACCTAGGAATGGGATTCAGCACCAGGGATACCTCCTTATAGCCCAGACTAACTTCACCAATTCAAAGACATGGGAGATCCAAGCCACCTTAGCACAGCATGGTTTACTTTACCTCATATATGCTCCTGACACATATCTAAAGAATGGATTTCATGTATGGCTCTCAATTGGTCAGCTGTCTTACTTTCCACTTAACTCACTAGGTCTCATTGGGCTTCTGGGCCACTAGGAACAATGTGGCCTTGTGATCAGTGATGACAGGTGGATAATCAAACACAAGAACCTCAGAGGACACAATATCAAAGCCAGCCCCTTTCAGACCATCTCTAACCATTTCTGATGTCAGGTAAAGGGAGGAGAACTTGTGTGGCCCCACCATGTAGAAAGTTGCTTCAAGTCCCACCACCAAAATGAGGTGTCCTCCAGGTTTGACCAAGGAGCCCACGTTCTTCATGGCTGAATGGTAAGTGTCGAGATCTTTACAAGCTGCTTCTATGCAGTAAGTGGAGAGGACACAGTCAGCTGGATGGACCTCCACTGGGTCAAAAGGGTTGGCCAAAGTCACGTCACACTTCAGGATTTGCTTGATGGCCTTCCTGAGCTTCTCCTCCTTTTCCATCCACTTCTCCCTGCAGGAAATGAAAAGGAAAAATTGTTCCAATCATGAAGGAATCTTCTAAGTTTGGAATTAATTCATGAGAAGATGCATAGTTATTTGCAATTTTGAGGAGAAATGCAACAAAAGGTCAAGAGTGTTACAAAATTTGTTCTGCTTTCTCATAAATTGGAAGCAGCATGTAAAAGCTAAAGTWATTTATTGCTTTTTGAAGGGTGGGGATGAAGGGACATAATGAACACAAGCCAATATCATGTATAGATTTGAATYTTCTTCTCAATCTCTAGGAGACAAGGGTTCAATTTAGTCGCAGAAGCTTATCTGTGTATCTTGGGCCAGTCTTACCTTCTCAGTCTCTGAAGAAGACCCTGGCAAACTTGGGGGGCGGGGGGGGGAGGACACAGTGTGTGTAGTGGTTTGAGTGTTGGGTTAAGATGGGAATTGTATGCCAAACAATGACACCTTTTGAGGGCCATAAACTCTCAGCTAAAARAATACACAACAAGCATCAGATGCCACCTCCATGTCTCCGTACCTGTCCCCCTCCAGCTGGCAAACATATTTCAATACTGAGGACCAGTTGAAAGTTTCTGGATCCTTTTTCAGCCACTTCTTCATCTCCTCTCGGTTCTGCTCAAGGAAATCACTGACGATGATCTCTTTGAAGGACTCACAAGCAGAGAGGAGCTGGTGGATGGAGGGACCACTCCCAATATCGATCAAGGTGTCTCCTTGGATGCCATCTTCAAAGAAACAATGGAATTGCCCTTTCTCTTGATCCTTGACACCTTCTTCTATATCCACATCCTTGCTCATATCCCATGCTGATGTGGGATGATGGGGTTGCCTGCCCATTCCATTGGGAGGGTGGGCTTTGTTTGGGGGGTGTTAACCTTCTACTTTGACCTGTGGAATCGCTATAACTCCCCCCTCCCATTTCGTTTGCACAGGGATAATGAGTTAGAAGCCAGTGTCATTTAATAGTTTGCATCTTAGCTTAATACTTGTAAACCTGGGTGACCTTGGGTGAGTTACAGACTCTCATCCCCAGAAACTCCCAGAATAGGGGCCACCTAGGGTCACCATACATCACAAACAACTTGAAGACATATAACAAGACAGAGGTCCTCCTGGTCAATCATAAACCGGACCGGAGTATACGGTGGCAACCTGTGCTGGACGGGGTTACACTCCCCCTGAAATCACAGGTCCGCAGTTTGGGGGTCCTCCTGGATTAATCACTTACATTTGAGGCTCAGGTGTCGGTGGCGACTGTGAGGGCTTTGCACAACTAAGACTCGTGCGCCAACTGCGACTGTACCTCGGAAAGGCGGATCTGGCCAAGGTGGTCCACGCTTTGGTCACCTCTAGACTGGATTACTGCAATGCACTCTATGTGGGGCTACCCTTGAAAACGGCCTGGAAATTTCAGATGATCCAATGGTGGCAGCCAGGTTGTTAACTGGGGTGCCTTACAGGGAGCGGTCAACCCTCCTGTTCAAGGAGCTCCACTGGCTGCCATTTATTTTCCGTTCCCAATTCAAGGTGCAGGTTCTTACCTACAAAGCCCTGAACAGTTTGGGACCTGTGTACGAACCCACACGATCTCTTCGTTCATCTGGAGAGGCCCTGCTCTCGATCCCACCAGCATTGCAGGCGTGATTGGTGGGGATGAGAGAGAGGGCCTTTTCGGTGGTGGCCCCTCGACTCTGGAACTCACTCCCTAAGGACATCAGGCAGGCCCCAACTCTGGCAGTCTTCAGGAGGAGTTTGAAGACATGGTTGTTCCAGTGTGCCTTCCCAGAATAATGATCCCATTGCACTTTGTCCCTCCAAAGCACTTTATAATTTTAGGTCTGCTCGTATGTCTTCCACAAACGCCACTATCACCTTTTCGTCCATGCCTCAGCACTATTTCCAGTTTTAATTTTTACATTTAACCTTCCCATAGTTTTTAATTGTATGTTGTCTTATTGATAATGTTGTATGTTTATCGTCTATGTTTTATTTTAATTTCTTGTATTGTTGTGATTATTGCTTGTATTGTTGTGTTTGGGCTCGGCCTCATGTAAGCCGAACCGAGTCTCTTGGGGAGATGGTAGCGGGGTACAAATAAAGTATAATAATAATAATAATAATTATTATTATTATTATTATTATTATTATTATAACAACCCTCCTGTGTTTGACTCAGACCATTGCTGTTGTTCTTTCCAATTGATGTTTATGTTTATTTAGGCACTGCTTTTTCTCTTCCCAAAGGACCTTACATGAAAGGCATTTCAATACAACCTAAAAGGGGGGGGGGGTACCATTATCCACGGCACTTTGCAGAAGACACAATCCAATGCTAAATCCTTCTGATGGAATGGATGACTCTCCCCCTTTGAAGCCCTCTTTGGCAAATCCCCTTTTCCAGGCCGGCCACACATTTCCATCCTTTGAGCTTCTTTCCCCACTTCACTCCTCCCTGAACGAGGATGCTTGCATTAATAATAATAATAATAATAATAATAATAATAATAATAACAGTAACACTTTATTTGTACCCCGCTACCATCTCCCCAAGGGACTCGGTGCGGCTTACATGAGGCCAAGCCCAAATACAACAATACAAGCAAAACAACAGTACAAGCAATTAAAATAAAAACATAGACAATAAAATATACAACATTATCAATAAGACAACACACAATTAAAACAGTGGGAAGGCCAAATGTAAAATTAAAATGGGAAGTAATGTTGGGACATGGACGAGAAGGTGATAGTGGTGTTTGTGGAAGGGCATACGAGCAGATCTAAAAAAATGTTTCATTATTCCGGGAAGGCACACTGGAACTACCACGTCTTCAAGCTCCTCCTAAAGACTGCCAAGGTTGGGGCCTGTCTGATGTCTTTAGGGAGTGAGTTCCAGAGTTGAGGGGCCACCACCGAAAAGGCCCTCTCTCTCGTCCCCACCAACTGCGCCTGTGATGCTGGTGGGATCGAGAGCAGGGCCTCCCTGGAAGATCGAAGGGATTGTGTGGGTTCGTATACAGAGATGCAGTCACACAGGTAGGCGGGTCCCAAACCATTCAGGGCTTTGTAGGTAAGAATCCGCACCTTGAATTGGGTCCGGTAAATAAATGGCAGCCAATGGAGCTCCTTGAACAGGAGGGTTGACCGCTCCCTGTAAGGAGCCCCAGTTAGCAACCTGGCCACCGCCCGTTGGATCATCTGAAATTTCCGGGCAGTTTTCAAGGGCAGCCCCACGTAGAGTGCATTGCAGTAATCCAGTCTAGAGGTGACTAAGGTGTGGGCCACCTTTCCCCACTTCAGTCCTCCTTGAACTGGGATACTTACATTGGTATGAAATCCAATCTGTTGCAAACAACAGGGAGACAGTCCAGCCAAACTCACCCTTTGCGAATGCTTTGTGGAGCTTGTCCAGAATAGTAGCGAATGCAGTTCCGCAGTTCAGAGAGTCCCCAGTCTCGAAAGACAGGTATGTGTTTAAATACGTTTTTGGACAGAATTTCTGCTCGTAAACCTCTTTCCCTGTGAATTCTCCTTCCATGGTGCCTCTGAGCCCACAATATACTCAAATCCTCTTTTGCTACTATAGCTTCTTGGTTCACAATCACGCCCTTTGCGATTGCCTGGATTCGGGCACATGATTCCAGAGGAGGGGCCGATATCTAAATGGGAGCTGTATTCTTCCAGCTCTGGAAAATCACCAGGAGCTGCATTCCCTCAAACAATGGTAAAGGTTTTCCCCTGACGTCTGACTCTGGGGGTTGGTGCTCATCTCCATTTCTAAGCCGAAGAGCCGGTGTTGTCTGTAAACACTTTAAAAGTCATGTGGCCAGCATGACTGCATGGAGCGCCGTTACCTTCCCACCGGAGCAGTACCTATTAATCTATTATTATTATTATTATTATTATTATTATTATTATTATTATCTTTATTTGTACCCCGCTAGCATCTCCCGAAGGGCTCGATGTGGCTTACAAATGCCAAGGCCTCAAAACATAACATAACAATACAAAACCTAAGCAAATTAAAAACAATTAAAGCAATATAAACAACAAGCAATAAACAATACACTAAGACACAATAAAACTGGGCCGGGCCAGAGTAATGGGTACAGGAATTAAAAGTGCTGATGTGACAGGTGGTATATAAGGCATTATAGGGCAAGTGCAGTGTGCAGTGTGCAACAATCTGAATTCTAATAAAATGCTTCTGGGACTTGTTATTGGAGTTTTCCTATTCTGGAAAGGCACATCGGAACAGCCAGGTCTTCAAGTTCTTTCTAAACACTGCCAATGTAGGGGCCTGTCTAAGATCTTTGGGGAGGGTGTTCCAGAGTCGGGGGCCACCACAGAAAAGGCCCTGTCTCGCGTCCCCACCAGACGCGCCTGCAACGCAGGCAGAATCACGAGCAGGGCCTCTCTGGATGAACGAAGTGAGCGCGTGGGTTCATAAACGGAGATGCGGTCACGCAGGTAGGATGGTCCCAAACCGTTTAGGGCTTTGTAGGTAAGCACCTGCACCTTAAATTGGGCTCGGAAAATAAACGGCAGCCAGTGGAGCTCCTTGAACAGTAGGGTTGACCTCTCTCTGTAAGGAGCACCAGTTAACATCCTGGCCGCTGGCCGTTGGACCAGTTGAAATTTCCGAGCCGTTTTCAAGGGCAGCCCCACGTAGAGCACATTACAATAGTCCAATCTAGAGGTGACCAAGGCATGGACCACCCCGGCCAGATCAGCCTTTGCGAGGTACGGTCGCAGTTGGCGCACGAGTCTCAGTTGTGCAAAAGCCCTCCCAGACACCGCCGACGCCTGAGCCTCAAGCGTAAGCGATGAATCCAAGAGGACTCCCAAACTGCGGACCTGTGACTTCAGGGGGAGTGTAACCCCGTCCAACACAGGTTGCCACCCTATACTCAGGTCAGGTTTACGATCGACCAAGAGGACCTCTGTCTTGTCGGGATTGATCTTCAGCTTGTTCCTCCTCATCCAGATAGACACATTGGCCAGGCACTCGTCCAGCACTCGAGGGGCCTCCTTGGAGTTGGGTGGAAAAGAGCAGTAGAGTTGTGTGTCATCTGCATACTCACATTTGCATGTGTTCAAACTGCTAGGTTGGGAGAAGCTGGGGCTGACAGACAGAGCTCATGCCGCTCCCTGGATTCGAACCTGCAACCTTTCAGTCAGTAAGTTCAGCAGTTCAGCGGTTTAACCCACTGCGTCACCAGCGGCGTAAGGAATATAATCCCACTCCCAAGACTCCGGGACTGGATGTTGCAATGCCACAGAATGGTCAACTTCTGTAATCTATTAATACCACTAGCCATCCCCTGCCATGCATTGCTGTGACCCAGTCTGTTGATCTGGAAAATAAGTAAATAGAAAGTGTTGGTTTCTAATCTATGTAATCTCTTTCTGCTTGTGGGTAAACAGTATTTCTTGCTGTTTCTTTGTCGGTGTTGATGTGGAGAGTGTCTGGTTTGCCTACTCTGGATCATACAAGACAGAATTGTCCTTCTTTAGGGGCCCCTTTCCAATCTAGGATACTATATCTGTGTTTGTGTGAATCATATCTATCTATCTATCTATCTATCTATCTATCTATCATCTATCTATTTATGGCTGGATGGCTCTTTGTCAGGAGGGCTTTGATTACGTTTTCTTGCTCTGGTGAAGGGAGTTGGACTGGATTTTCTGTTTGTCATGGGGGTATCTGTGTGGGAAGTTTGCCCCAATTCTGTCGTTGGTGGGGATCAGAATGCTCTTTGGTTATAGGTGAACTATAAATCCCAGTAACTGCAATTCCCAATTGTCAAGGTCTATTTTCCCCCAAACTCCATCTGTGTTCATATTTGGGCATTTGCAATATTCGTGCCAAGTTTGGCCCAGATCCATTATTGTTTGAGTCCGCAGTGCTCTCTGGATGTAGGTGAACTACAACTCCCAAACTCAAGGTCAATGCTCACCAAACCCTTCTAGTGTTTTCTGTTGGGTCATGGGAGTCCTGTGTGCCATGTACTCTAGTATGCTGATGACAACGTCGTCTGTGCGCATTCAGAAGAAGATCTACAAGCCACTCTAAACACCTTTGCAGAAGCATACGAGAAGCTCGGCCTGTCATTGAACATTGAAAAAACCAAGGTGCTGTTCCAGCAGACACCAGCCAACCCCTCTCCAATGTCAGTGATACAGCTTAATGGCGTAACATTAGAAAATGTTGATCATTTCCGCTACCTTGGCAGTCACCTCTCCACCAAAGTCAACATTGACACCGAAATACAACACCGCCTGAGCTCTGCGAGTGCAGCATTTTTCCGAACGAAGCAGAGAGTGTTTGAGGACCGGGACATCCGTAGGGATACCAAGGTGCTTGTCTATAAAGCTCCCAACCCTGCTATATGCCTGTGAGACGTGGACTGTCTACAGACATCACATGCAACTCCTGGAACGATTCCATCAGCGCTGCCTCCGGAAAATCCTGCAAATCTCTTGGGAAGACAGGCGGACAAAGGTCAGCGTGCTGGAAGAAGCAAAGACAACCAGCATTGAAGTGATGGTCCTCCGCCACCAGCTCCGCTGGACCGCATTTTGTCCGGATGCTGACCACCGTCTCCCAAAGCAGTAGCTCTACTCTGAACTTAAGAATGGAAAACGTATTGGTGGACAGGAAAAGAGATTTAAAGATGGGCTCAAAGCCAACCTTAAAAACTCTGGCATAGACACTGAGAACTGGGAAGCCCTGGCCCTTGACCGCTCCAGCTGGAGGTCAGCTGTGACCAGCAGTGCTGCAGAATTTGAAGAGGCACGAATGGAGGGCGAAAGGGAGAAGCGTGCCAAGAGGAAGGCGCATCAAGCCAACCCCGACCGAGACCGCCTTCCACCTGGAAACCAATGCCCTCACTGCGGAAGAAGATGCAGAGCAAGAATAGGGCTCCACAGCCACATACGGACCCACAAGAATATTGGAAGACAATCATCCTTGGAAAATGAGGGATCGCATAAGTAAGTTGGTCATGGGAGTCGTGTGTGTCACGTTTGGTTCAATTCCATCATTGGTGGAATTTAGAATGCTTTTGATTGTAGGTAAATTATAAATTCCAGCAACTACAACTCCCTAATGACAAAATCAATTTTTTTGAGTGATGGTCACTCCTTGGATCAGTAGGTGTCTTGTGGCCAAATTTGGCAACAATTCATCCGGTGCTTTTGAGTTATGTTAATCCCACAAATGAACATTAAACTTTTATTTATATAGATTTTGAATTCGGATCCTGTGCTCTGGAGTATTCGCTCTCCCTCCCAATGAGTCTGGCATGACTTGTTTTTTTAGAAAGCTCTGTTGACTTGTAGTGACCACAGCATTGTTTTGCATGGAAAATAGCATTTCCTTTCTGGCCATATATTGGAATCCTATCTTTGCAAAGAGAAAAATGTTGTTTTCAGGACAGCAAGTGGAGAGGACACAGCTGTCCAGATGGACCTCCATCGGGTCAAAAGGGTTGTGGGAGTTGAATTGTGGGAGTTGAAGTCCAAAACACTTGGAGGGCCGAAGTTTGCCCATGCCTGATGTAAAAGTTGCCTTCTTGGTCTTTTGGAAAATGGACCCATTCAATAGATTTGAGGGCATCATTTGTGATTTGTAAAAAAAGTAAATATTTGAATTAAAAACAATTTTGCAAAAAATATATTCATTGTGGGAAATGAACTGTGATTGGATGTGACTTAGGAATGGGAATAATGTGTGGAAATATTCAAAGAAAGCTTTCATAGAATCATAGAATCAAAGAGTTGGAAGAGACCTCATGGGCCATCCAGTCGAACCCCATTCTGCCAAGAAGCAGGAATATTGCATTCAAATCACCCCTGACAGATGGCCATCCAGCCTCTGTTTCAAAGCTTCCAAAGAAGGAGCCTCTACCACACTCCTGGGCAGAGAGTTCCTCTGCTGAACGGCTCTCACAGTCAGGAAGTTCTTCCTCATGTTCAGATGGAATCTCCTAGGTGTTTCTCAGCTGCTGAGAAGCCCAATAAGATGAGCCCAGAGGTGAATACTATATTCGTTGCTCAGGGTTCATATCCCGCAAAATTCTCATGGACATGTTTTGACTTGAAAACAACTTTTTTTCTCTCTGCAAGGACATGATACTGATATTTATCCAGGAAAAAAAGGTAAAAGTTGTACCCTGACATGAAGTCCAGTCGCGTCCGACTCTGGGGGTTGGTGCTCGTCTCCATTTCTAAGCCGAAGAGCCGGTGTTGTCCGTAGACACTTCCAAGGTCATGTGGCCATTGGCATGACTGCATGGAGCGCCGTTTCCTTCCCACCGGAGCGGTACCTATTGATCTACTCACATTTGCATGTTTCCGAACTGCTAGGTTGGCAGAAATTTATCCAGAAAGGAAATGCTATTTTCTGTGCAAAACAAACACATGTGGATTTTGTGCAGAATAAGACTTGAATAGTGAACAATCCCCAAAAACTACACAGTTTTCAAAAACTGTATTGTCAAAGGCTTTGATGGCCAGAATCACTGGATTGTTGAAGGTTTTCTGGGCTATCTGGCCATGTTTCAGAAGCATTGCCTCCTGATGTTTCGCCTGCATCTGTGGCAGGCATCCTCAAAAATTGTGAAGTCTTTCAAAAACTTTCTCACAGCAATGCGAAAATATATAGACATCAAGAGCCGGAAGAGACTCCAAAGGGCCATCCAGCCCGATTCTGTGCCATGCAAGAAATTACAATGAGAGCACTCCTGAAAGATGGCCAGTCATTCACTACTTCCATCAAGAAGGAAATTAGGAAATGAGGTAACTCACAAACTTTGGAGTAAGAATTATGAGCTGAAATCTTTTTCTGGCAGGGAACAAAAGGAGGACCCAAACAATTACTATCCAGTCAGCCTGCTATCGAGACCAAGGAAGATTCTGGAGAAGATCATTCAGGAAGCAGCCTGCAATCACTTAGAAAGGATTGCTTTGATCTCTAAAAGTCAACATAGGTGTCTCAAAAACAAAGTCACGCCAGACTAATCTTATCTCTGGATGGGGTATATCTTGATATTAGCAAGGCCTTCAACAAGGTCCCAATGACCTTCTTGCAAGCAAACTAGTCCCATGTTTGTAATAGTAGTTTGTAATAGTAGGGTTGTTGTAGGCCACGTTTTAGAGGCATTTTCTCCTGACGTTTTGCCTGCATCTATGGCAAGCATCCTCAGAGGTAGTGAGGATGCTTGCCATAGATGCAGGCGAAACGTCAGGAGAAAATGCCTCTAGAACATGGCCATATAGCCCGGAAAAACCTACAACAACCCAGTGATTCTGGCCATGAAAGCCTTCGACAATACTTTGTAATAGTAATTAGGTGGATCTGGAATAGGTTAAGCGACCAAACCCAAAGGGTGGTTCTCTCCAATGGATCCACTTCAACCTGGAAAGAAGTGACAAGTGGAGTGCCATGTAGAGGATTCCAGTTTTGTTCAATCATCATCATCATCATCATCATCATCATCATCATCATCTTTATTTGTACCCTGCCACCCTCTCCCTAATGGGGACTCGAGGCGACAACATAATACAGTAAATGAAATCAAAACACAAATGACAGCATAATAAATTACATAATACATAAACCAGCAAACAATATAAAATTACAATAAAATCTTTCATAACACAGAACAACATCTTTATCAATGACCTGGATGAAGTTTTATAGGGTGTGCTAGTAAGTAAGTAAGTAAGTAAGTAAGTTATCAGGCTTGCAGATGACACCAAATTGGAGGTGAGAGCTAACACACCGGAGGTCAGAATCAGAATTCTAAGTGACCTTAATAGATTCCAGAGCTGGGCCATTCTGTGGCATTGCAGCATCCCACCCCAGAGTCTTGGGAAAGGGGTCACATTCCTGACACCTTGCTTGAGGGAATACAGTTCCGGGTGGGTTTCCAGAGCTGAAAGAATACAGTTCCCATTTAGATACCGGCCCCTCCTCTGGGATCATGTGCTTAAATCCAGGCGATCGCAAAGGGAGTGGCTGTGAACCAAGAGGCTACAGGAGCAGAAGGGCATTTGAGTATATTGTGGGCTCAGAGGCATCATGGCAGGAGAATTCACCGGGAAAGAAGTTTACGAAAAAAAATTCTGCCCTAAAAATTATTTAAACATGTATCTATCTTTTGAATCTGGTGACTCTCTGAACTGCAGAACTGTATTCGCTATTATTCTGGACAAGCTCCACAAGGCATTCGCTAAAGGTGAGTTTGGCTGGACTGTCTCCCTGTTGTTTGCAACAGATTGGATTTTGTGCCAATGCAGGTATCTCCATTCAGGGAGGGATGAAGTGGGGACAGGAGGCCAAGGGATGGAAATGTGGGGCCAGCCTCGAAAAGGGGATCTACCAAAGAGGGAGAGAGATTGACAAGCTGGGATGTGTCCAGAGGAGGGCGACCAAAATGATCAAGGGTCTGGAGAACCAAAATGATCAAGGGTCCCTATGAGGAGCAGCTTAAAGAGCTAGGCATGTTTAGCCTGAAGAAGAGAAGGATGAGAGGAGATATGATAGCCATGTATAAATATGTGAGAGGAAGCCACAGGGAGGAGGGAGCAAGCTTGTTTTCTGCTTCCCTGGAGACTAGGACACGGAGCAATGGCTTCAAACTACAAGAGAGATTCCATCTGAACATGAGGAAGAACTTCCTGACTGTGAGAGCTGTTCAGCAGTGGAACTCTCTGCCCCGGAGTGTGGTGGAGGCTCCTTCTTTGGAAGCTTTTAAACAGAGGCTAGATGGCCATCTGTCAAGGGTGATTTGAATGCAATATTCCTGCTTGTTGTCAGAATGGGGTTGGACTGGATGGCTCAGGAGGTCTCTTCCAACTCTTTGATTCTATGATTCATCTATTCCATCAGAAGGGTCTAGCTTTGGATTGTGGCTTCTGCAAAGTGCCGTGGATAATGGTACCCCCCCCCCCCTTTTAGGTTGTATTGAAATGCCTTTCATGTAAGGTCCTTTGGGAAGAGAAAAAGCAGTGCCTAAATAAACATAAACATCAATTGGAAAGAACAACAGCATTGGTCTGAGTCAAACACAGGAGGGTTGTTATGTGCCTTCATGTTGTTTGTGATGTATGGTGATCCTCAGTGGCCCCTATCCTGGGGGTTTCTGGGGATGAGAGTCTGTAACTCACCCAAGGTCAGCCTGGTTCTCAAATATTTAACTAAGATACAAACTATTAAATGACACTGGCATCCAATTCATGATCCCTGTGCAAAGGAAATGGGAGGGGGGAGTTATAGTGGTTCCACAGGTGAAAGCAGAAGGTTAACATCCGCAAACAGAGCCCACCCTCTCAATGGAATGGGCAGGCAGTCCCATCATCCCCATCAGCATGGGAAATGAGCAAGGATGTGGATATAGAATAAAGCATCCAGGATCAAGAGAAAGGGCAATTTCATGGTTTCTTTGAAACACAGGTGGCATCCGAGGAGACACCTTGATCGATATTGGCAGCGGCCCGTCCATCCACCAGCTCCTTTCCGCCTGTGAGTCCTTCAAAGAGATCATCGTCAGTGATTTCCTTGAGCAGAACCAAGAGGAGATGAAGAAGTGGCTGAAAAAAGATCCGGAAACTTTCGACTGGGCCCCGGTGTTGAAATATGTTTGCCAGCTGGAGGGAGACAGGTACGGAGAGATGGAGGTGGCATCTGATGCCTGCTGTGTCTCATTTTAGTTGAGAGTTTGTGGTCCTCAAAAGATGAATGCGTCATTGTTTGGCACACAGTTCCAATCTTAATCCAACACCCAAACTTCCCCAAAGTTTGCCATGGTCTTATTTATTTACTGGGTTGTTGTAGGTTTTTTTGGGCTATATGGCCATGGTCTAGAGGCGTTCTCTCCTGACGTTTCGCCTGCATCTATGGCAATCCGCAGAGGTAGTGAGGATGCTTGCCATAGATGCAGGCGAAAACGTCAGGAGAGAATGCTTCTAGACCATGGCCATATAGCCCAAAAAAACCTACAACAACCCAGTGATTCCGGCCATGAAAGCCTTCGACAATACATACATATTTTCATTTTTATTTATTTATTTATTTAAAACTTTTGTATCCCGATCTTCTCTACCTCCGTAGAGGGACTCAGACTGGCTAACAGCAAGGATTCAATGCTAACAATACAATCTAAAACATCGTACATCAACAATAAATTAAAATACATATAGACTAAAATACATAAAAATCCAGTTCATCAAGATAAAATCATGTCCAACTCAGTCTGCATATGTGGTCGATTTATTTATTTATTTGTCATGTCAGGACAACCAGTCGATTATATTACATTTCTAACAGAACAAAGCAAAAAACAGACAAAATACAAAATTGTGAGTTTGGTAGTTGATTAAATGTCCTTTGACCAGTATTTGGCCACTTGGAGTGCTTCTGGTGTGGCTGCAAGAAGGTCCTCCATTGTGCATGTGGCAGGGCTCAGGTTGCATTGCAGCAGGTGGTCAGTGGTTTGCTCCTCTCCACACTCGCATGTCGTGAGTCCAGATTGTGGCCCCATTTCTTAAGGTTGGCTCTGCATCTCATGGTGCCAGAGCGCAGTCTGTTCAGCGCCTTCCAAGTCACCCGTCTCCTGTGTGCCCAGGAGGGAGTCTCTCATTTGGTATCAGCCATTGGTTGAGGTTCTGGGTTTGAGCCTGCCACTTTTGGACTCTCGCTTGCTGAGGTGTTCCAGCGAGTGTCTCTGTAGATCTTAGAAAACTATTTCTTGATTTAAGTCGTTGACGTGCTGGCTGATACCCAAACAGGGGATGAGCTGGAGATGTCTCTGCTTTGGTCCTTTCACTATTGGCTGCTACTTCCCGGCGGATGTCAGGTGGTGCAATACCGGCTAAGCAGTGTAATTTCTCCAGTGGTGTATAATGATAATGCGGTATGTCTCATGAAGAGCCACATCCACTGTTTTAGTGTGGTGAGCTGTGTTCCACACTGGGCATGCATACTCAGCAGCAGAGTAGCACAGCGCAAGGGCAGATGTCTTCACTGTGTCTGGTTGTGATCCCCAGGTTGTGCCAGTCAGCTTTTGTATGATATTGTTTCTAGCACCCACTTTTTGATGTTCAGGCAGTGCTTCTTGTAGGTCAGAGCACGGTCCAGAGTGACTCCCAGGTATTTGGGTGCGCTGCAATGCTCCAGTGGGATTCCTTCCCAGGTCATAATGCTCAGAGCTCGGGATGCTTGTCTGTTCTTAAGGTGAAAGGCACATGTCTGTGTTTTAGATGGATTAGGGATCAGCTGGTTTGCCCTGTAATAGGCAGTAAGAGCAGTAAGAGCACGTAGAGTTTCGGAAAGCTTCTGTTGTACCATCTCAAAGCTCCCTGCTTGAGCAGTAATGGCACGATCATCAGCATAGATGAAACTCTCTGTCCCTTCTGGCACAGAGGTTATGTGGTTGATAACTTTAGGCAATTGCCAGTCTCCGCCATCATTTCGGGAATGCCTGGTTCCATAGCCAGGATTTCACTAGCTTCCTGAAGGTCAGGAGGGAGGGGGCAGATCTGATCTCAGTTGGGAGAGAGTTCCATAGCCGGGGGGCCACCACAGAAAAGGCCCTGTCTCTCGTCCCCATCAGATGCGATTACGAGGGTGATGGGACCGAGAGCAGGGCTCCTTCAGAAGATCTTAACAACCTTGATGGTTCATAAGGGAGAATACATTCCGATAGGTAAACTGGGCTGGAACCATATAGGGTTTTGTAGGTTAAAACCAGCACTTTGAATTGTGCTCGGAAGATAATTGGCAGCCAGTGGAGCTGGCGCAACAGAGGAGTTGTATGCTCCCTGTACCCCACTATTGTTAGTAGCCTGGCTGCCAAGCATTTGACTAGTTGCAGTTTCTGGGCAGTCTTCATAGGCAACCCCACATAGAGAGTGCTGCAGTAGTCTATACGGGATATAACCCATATCTTCTTCAGAGACTGAGGGAGGAAGACTGGCCCAAGGTCCACAAATAGGCTTCTGTGACCAAATTGAACTCTTGACTCCTAGAGACTGAGAAGAACACTCAAATCTATACATCATATTGGCTTGAGTTCATTATGCTCCTTTCATTCCTACCCTTCAAAAAGCAATGAATTGCTTTAGCTTTAACATGCTACTTCCAGTTTATGAAAAAGCACAACAAATTTTGCAGCATTCTTGACCTTTGTTACCTCCCTCCTCAAAATTATGTCTCAGGTGCAAGTTCATTATGTTTACCTCCCTCCTGATATTGCAAATAACCGTGAATCATCTTGTGCATTGCTTCCAAACTTAGAAGTTTCCTTCATGCTTGGAACAATTTTCCCTTTCATTACCTGCAGGGAGAAGTGGATGGAAAAAGAGGAGAAGCTCAGGAAGGCCATCAAACAAGTTCTGAAATGTGACGTGACTTTGGCCAACCCTTTTGACCCGGTGGAGATCCATCCGGCTGACAGTGTCCTCTCCACTTACTGCATAGAAGCAGCTTGTAAAGATCTCGACACTTACCATTTGGCCATGAAGAATGTGGGCTCTTTGGTCAAACCTGGGGGACACCTCATCTTGGTGGTGGCTCTTGAAGAAACCTTCTACATGGTGGGACCACACAAGTTCTCCTCCCTTTACCTGACACCAGAAGTGGTTAGAGATGTTCTGAAAGGGGCTGGCTTTGATATTGTGTCCTCTGAGGTCCACCTGCATGATATTCACTTGTCTATCTCAGATTCCAAAAGCACATTGTTCCTAGTGGCCCAGAAGCCCCATGAGACCCAGTGAGTTAGTGAAAAAGGAAAGCCGTTAACCAAATGTAAGCCATAAACGTAGCTCATTCTTCAGGTCTGTGCCAGAAGCAAATATCAGGTGATGAAGAAAACAAAATGAATACTTTTGAGAACCTTAGACAGATGGTTATGAATAGGATGGGAAAATAATTAAATACTCAAACATACTGAGGTATAAATATATTCAATAGTATCCCTGTATCTTGAGAAGTCAAGGGTAGAGATTCTTGGAAGGGAATGGGAAGGTGATGGGATGGGATAGGGGAAAAATACTTGTATTTTGATTGTTGAATTTCGAAGATTGAATGTTGCTATGTATGTATATATAATTTTAAAACTTTCCAAAAAAGAAGCAAATATCAGGTATTACCATGTCCGTGAATTGGTGAATCAAGTCAAGGTTTTAATCTGCATTTTAATGAGGCCTCCCTGGTGCTGAAGCTCATTCCTAAGTAACTCCAGAACCTTGGAGAGCTCCATTAAAACTATCCAAAACCTGAAAGGGATTCACTGACTACCGATATGGGAGTCAATAGTAACAATTGTTTTTTGGAGGCAACAATTTTTAGAAAACACCAATGGCGACGTTGTCTTGTGGGTTCTGGGAATTGTAACACTTAGAAAAGTAACCATTTTCCAAAACCATATCAATGGGTACAGGAAAACAGATTTCAGGTCATGGAATATATGTTTGTGTGTGTTGTCATCTCTCTCTATCTATCTATCTATCTATCTATCTATCTATCTATTAGGCTTGGGTGGTTTCGTTCGTTAATTTCGTAATTCGTTATTAATTCATATTTAAATTAGCTTACGATCCAATATTGAGCCATGCAGGACTACTGTAAGGAGTAATTAAAAATTGAAACAATTTTTTCAATTTATTTCGTATTGTTTCGTAATTGTTTCAAGATTGTTTCGAAATTGTTTCAAAATTGTTTCGTAATTATTTCCGTATGTCTGGTGCAAGTTATATAGTTGTTGTTTGTTTCATCAGTGATAAAAAATAAATTATCACACCAACAGTCAACAACAGAGGGAGAGGGAAGCTTCAGAAGTTCCCCCTGTCCCATTTGGAGGGTTTTTTAGCATATTGCGCAATCGCGTCCGCCATTAATGAATCTATTCGTAATTTTACGAAATTTCGTATATTTCAAACTTTTTTAAAGGAAAATTTAGGAATTCTTTAAAAAAACAAAATGCAAGGGCCCCCTAAAAACGAAACGAGTTTAGAACCAAATTTTTCTGTGGTTACCCAAGCCTACTATCTATCTTCTGTTAGCTCTTGCAAGCATGTAATGTTAAAGATGCCTTCTTGGTCTTTTGGAAAATACACCCATTCAATAGATTTGGGGGCATCATTTGTGATTTGCAAAAAGAGCAAATATTTGAATTAAAATCAATTTTGCAAAAAAAAAAAGTCATTGTGGGAAATGAACTGTGATTGGATGTGACTTAGGAATGGGAATAATGTGTGGAAATATTCAAAGAAAGCTTTCAAAGGTGTTTCTCAGCTGCTGAGAAGCCCAATAAGATGGACCCAGAGGTGAATACTATATTCGTTGCTCAGGGCTCACATCACGTAAAATTCTCATGGACTTGTTTTGACTTGAAAACAACTTTTTTCTCTCTGCAAGGACATGATACTGATATTTATCCAGAAAAAAGGTAAAGGTTGTACCCTGACATTAAGTCCAGTCGTGTCCGACTCTGGGGGTTGGTGCTCATCTCCATTTCTAAGCCGAAGAGCCAGTGTTGTCCTTAGACACTTCCAAGGTCATGTGGCCATTGGCATGACTGCATGGAGCACCGTTTCCTTCCCACCGGAGTGGTACCTATTGATCTACTCACATTTGCATGTTTTCGAACTGCTAGGTTGGCAGAAATTTATCCAGAAAGGAAATGCTATTTTCTGTGCAAAACAAACGCACGTGGACTTTGTGCAGAATAAGTCTTGAATCATGAAGAATCCCCAAAAACTACACAGTTTTCAAAAACTGTATTGTCGAAGGATTTCATGGCCAGAATCACTGGGTTGTTGTATGTTTTTTGGGCTATCTGGCCATGTTCCAGAAGCATTGTCTCCTGATGTTTCACCTGCATCTGTGGCAGGCATCCTCAAAGATCATGAGGTCTTTCAAAAACTTTCTCACAGCAATGAGAAAATATATAGACTCCGAGTGCTGGAAGAGACTCCAAAGGGCCATCCAGCCCGACTCTGTGCCATGCAAGAAATTACAATGAGAGCACTCCTGAAAGATGGCCAGTCATTCACTACTTCCATCAAGAAGGAAATTAGGTAACTCACAAACTTTGGAGTAAGAAGTACGAGCTGAAATCTTTTTCTGGCATGGAAAAAAAGGAGGGCCCAAACAATGACTATCCAGTCAGCCTGCTATCAAGACCAGGGAAGATTCTGGAGAAGATCATTCAGGAAACAGCCTGCAATCACTTAGAAAGGATTGCTTTGATCACTAAAAGTCAACATAGGTGTCTCAAAAACAAAGTCATGCCAGACTAATCTTATCTCTGGATGGGGTATATCTTGATATTAGCAAGGCCTTCAACAAGGTCCCAATGACGTTTTTGCAAGCAAACTAGTGCAATGTTGGTAATAGTAATTAGGCGGATCTGGAATAGGTTAAGCGACCAAACCCAAAGGGTGGTTCTCTCCAATGGATCCACTTCAACCTAGAAAGAAGTTACAAGTGTAATGCCATGTAGAGGATTCACGCTGAGCCCAGTTTTGTTCAATCATCATCATCATCGTCATCATCATCGTCATCGTCATCGGACAGAGAGTGTCATCTATGCTGATGATCGTGCCATTACTGCTCAAGCAGGGAGCTTTGAGATGGTTGAACAGAAGCCCCACCGAAGCTCTAGGTGGTCTTACTGCCTATTACAGGGAAAACCAGCTGATCCCCAACCCATTCAAAACACAGACATGTGCTTTTCATCTCAAGAACAGAGAAGCATCCCGAGCTCTGAGGATCACCTGGGAAGGAATCCCACTGGAGCATTGCAGCGCACCCAAATACCTGGGAGTCACTCTGGACCGTGCTCTGACCTACAAGAAGCACTGCCTGAACATCAACAAAAAGTGGGCGCTAGAAACAATATCATACAAAAGCTGACTGGCACAACCTGGGGATCACAACCAGACACAGTGAAGACATCTGCCCTTGCGCTATGCTACTCTGCTGCTGAGTACGCATGCCCAGTGTGGAACACATCTCACCACACTAAAACAGTGGACGTGGCTCTTAATGAGACATGCCGCATTATCACAGGGTGTCTGCGCCCTACACCACTGGAGAAATTACACTGTCTAGCCGGTATTGCACCACCTGACATCCGCCGGGAAGTAACAGCCAATAGTGAAAGGACATCTCCAGCTCATTCCTTGTTTGGGTATCAGCCAACACGTGAATGACTTAAATCAAGAAATAGTTTTCTAAGATCTACAGAGACGACTCGCTGGAACACCCCAGTAAGCGAGAGTCCAAAAGTGGCAGGCTCAAACCCAGAACCTAATACCCAATGAGAGACTCCTCCCTGGGCAGACAGAAAACTGGGAGACTTGAAAGGTGCTGAACAGACTGAGCTCTGGCACCACGAGATGCAAAGCCAACCTGAAGGAATGGGGGCACAAAGTGGAGTCCACGACATGCGAGTGTGGAGAAGAGCAAACCACTGACCACCTGCTGCAATGCAACCTGAGCCCTGCCACAAGCACAAGGGAGGACCTTCTTATAGTAACACCAGAGGCACTCCAAGGGGCCAGATACTGGTCAAAGGACATTTGATCAACTACCAAGCTTGCAAATTCTGTATTTTGTCTGTCTGTTTGTTTGTTTTTGTTAAAAAATTTATACAAATGTCTGGTTGCTGATGACACAATAAATAAATAAATCATCATCATCATCATCATCATCTTTATTTGTACCCTGCCGCCATCTCCGCAATGGGGACTCGAGGCGGCTCACATGAGGCAAAGCCCGACAACATAATACAATAAATGAAATCAAAACACAAACGACAGCATAATAAATTACATAAAACATAAACCACGAGAATGCAGCAAACAATATAAAATTACAATAAAATCATTCATAACACAGAACAACATCTTTCTCAATGACCTGGATGAAGTTTTAGAGGGCGTGCTAGTAAGTGAGTAAGTAAGTGATCAGGCTTGCAGATGACATCAAATTGGAGGTGAAGAATCAGAATTCTAAATCACCTTAATAGATTACAGAGCTGGGCCATTCTGTGGCATTGCAACATCCCACCCCGGAGTCTTGGGAAAGGGGTCACATTTCTCACTCCTTGTTTGAGGAAATGCAGCTCCGGGTAGTTTTCCAGAGCTGGAGGACCACAGATCCCATTTAGATACCGGCCCCTCCTCTGGGATCATGTGCCTGAATCCAGGCAATTGCAAAGGGAGTGGCTGTGAACCAAGAGGCTACAGGAGCAGAAGGGCATTTGAGTATATTGTGGGCTCAGAGGCAACATGGCAGGAGAATTCACGGGGAAAGAGTTTTACGAGGAAAAATTCTGCCCAAAAAATTATTTAAACATGTATTTCTCTTTTGAGTCTGGTGACTCTCTGAATTGCGGAACTGCATTCGCTATCATTCTGGACAAGCTCCACAAGGTATTCGCTAAAGGTGAGTTTGGCTGGACTGTCTCCCTGTTGTTTGCAACAGATTGGATTTCATACCAATGCAGGTATCTCCATTCAGGGAGGGATGAAGTGGGGACAGGAGGCGAAGGGATGGAAATGTGGGGCCAGCCTCGAAAAGGGGATCTACTAAAGCTGGCTTCAAATTCAAGAGAGATATTGACAAGGCTGGGATGTGTCCAGAGGAGGGCGACTAAAATGATCAAGGGTCTGGAGAACAAGCCCTATGAGGAGCGGCTTAAGGAGCTGGGCATGTTTAGCCTGAAGAAGAGAAGGCTGAGAGGAGATATGATAGCCATGTATAAATATGTGAGAGAAAGCCACAGGGAGGAGGGAGCAAGCTTGTTTTCTGCTTCCCTGGAGACTAGGACGTGGAACAATGGCTTCAAACTACAAAAAAAGGAGATTCCATCAGAACATGAGGAAGAACTTCCTGACTGTGAGAACCGTTCAGCAGTGGAACTCTCTGCCTCGGAGTGTGGTGGAGGCTCCTTCTTTGGAAGCTTTTAAACAGAGGCTGGATGGCCATCTGTCAGGGGTGATTTGAATGCAATATTCCTGCTTCTTGGCAGAATGGGGTTGGACTGGATGATGGCCCAGGAGGACTCTTCCAACTCTTTGATTCTATGATTCTATGATTCATCTGTTCCATCAGAAGGCTCTAGCATTGGATTGTGGCTTCTGCAAAGTGCAGTGGATAATGATACCCCCCCCCCTTTAGGTTGTATTGAAATGCTTTTCATGTAAGGTCCTTTGGGAAGAGAAAAAGCAGTGCCTAAATAAACATAAACATAAATTGGCAGCAACAACAGCAGTGGTCTCAGACAAACACAGGAGGGTTGTTATGTGCCTTCAGGGGCGGCCCGTCCATTACGCGAAGTAAGCGGTCGCAGAACACTTTTTTTTGCCAGGGGTGCAGAGGCGCCTCTGTAAATGCCCCTCGACTGCCACTTGAGGAGCGCCCCCTCAGCTCACAACAGCCCTAGCAGTCCGGGGGGAGCCTCGGCTTTCTTGCCTCACTGCCAGGCGATTCTCTTCCCAAAGGGGCCGAGACCTTGAGCCTCGCCTAGCCCCTCTCATTCCTGCTCCACCCGGCCACCGGGTGTGTGAGCAGAGCCGGCGCTCAATCGTTTTCTGCATTCAATCCCTTCCCCATGACCGGCTCCCATGAACGGCTCCACCCGCCTCCTCTTCTCTCCCCAATCCGCGGGTGGGCCAAGGGGCGGAGCCGCCGCGCCTGGCCAACTTTGGGTCCGGAGGCATGTCTGAAGACCCCAGCATGCGCACCAAAAGTCGCCTCTTCTCCTGACTTTCTCTTCAGCCATTGGGACCAAGAGAGAGAGAGAGAGAGAGAGAACCCCTCCGGCTGGAGGTATCTCCCACCTCCGCTCCCTCCTTTGTTTTTGCGCCTACCTTCAGGAAAGGTGGGCATCTCCACCTCTCTCTCTCTCTCTCTTGGTCCCAATGGCTGAGGAGAAAGTCAGGAGAAGAGGTGACTTTTGGTGACACGCCGGGGTCTTCAGGCACACCTCCGGACCCAAAGCGGGCCAGGCAAGGGAGCAAGTGCGGCAAGTGTAGTTACTGGGATGTATAGTTCACCTACAATCAAAGAGCATTCTGAACTCCACCAATGATGGAATTGAACCAAATATGGCACACAGAACTCCCATGACGAACAGAAAATATATATCAGTGATTGGTTGGGGGGGTGCCAAAATACTGTTTGCTTACCATTGAAAATTACCTAGGGCCGCCTCTGTGTGCCTTCAAGTTGTTTCTGATGTATAGTGACCCTCAGTGGCCCCTATCCTGAGGGTTTCTGGGGATGAGAGTCTGTAACTCACCCAAGGTCACCCTGGTTTTCAAGTATTAAACTTAAGATACAAACTATTAAATGACACTGGCATCCAACTCATGATCCCTGTGCAAAGGAAATGGGAGGGGGGGAGTTATAGTGATTCCACAGGTGAAAGTGGAACGTTAGCATCCCCCAAATGGAGCCCACCCTCCCAATGGAATGGACAGGCAGTCCCATCATCCCCATCAGCATGGGAAATCAGCAAGGATGTGGATATAGAATAAAGCATCCAGGATCAAGAGAAAGGGCAATTTCATGGTTTCTTTGAAACACAGGTGGCATCCGAGGAGACACCTTGATCGATATTGGCAGCGGCCCGTCCATCCACCAGCTCCTTTCCGCCTGTGAGTCCTTCAAAGAGATCATCGTCAGTGATTTCCTTGAGCAGAACCAAGAGGAGATGAAGAAGTGGCTGAAAAAAGATCCGGAAACTTTCGACTGGGCCCCGGTGTTGAAATATGTTTGCCAGCTGGAGGGAGACAGGTACGGAGAGATGGAGGTGGCATCTGATGCCTGCTGTGTCTCATTTTAGTTGAGAGTTTGTGGTCCTCAAAAGATGAATGCGTCATTGTTTGGCACACAGTTCCAATCTTAATCCAACACCCAAACTTCCCCAAAGTTTGCCATGGTCTTATTTATTTACTGGGTTGTTGTAGGTTTTTTTGGGCTATATGGCCATGGTCTAGAGGCGTTCTCTCCTGACGTTTCGCCTGCATCTATGGCAAGTATCCGCAGAGGTAGTGAAGATGTTTGCCGTGTTGTTGTTCATTCGTTCAGTCGTCTCCGACTCTTCGTGACCTCATGGACCAGCCCACGCCAGCGCTCCCTGTCGGCTGTCATCACCCCCAGTCCCTTCAAGGTCAGTCCAGTCACCTCAAGGATGCCATCCATCCATCTTGCCCTTGGTTGGCCCCTCTTCCTTTTAGCTTCCACTTTCCCCAGGATCATTGCCTTCTCTAAGCTTTGCTGTCTCCTCATGATGTGGCCATGGCCAACTTTGTCTCTAGTATCCTTCCCTCCAGTGAGCAATCGGGTTTTACTTCCTGGAGGTTGGATCTTCTGGCAGTCCAAGGCACTCTCAGGACTTTCCTCCAACACCACAGTTCAAAAGCGCCTCTCTTCCTTCGCTCAGCCTTCCCTAAGGTCCAGCTCTCACATCCATAGGTTACTACAGGGAATACCATGGCTTTGACTAGGCGGATCTTTGTTGCCAGTGTGATGTCTCTTGACTATCTTATCGAGATTGGACATTGCTCTCCTCCCAAGAAGGAAGCGTCTTCTGATTTCCTGGCCATAGTCTGTGTCTGCAGTCATCTTTGCACCTAGAAATACAAACCCTGTCATGGCCTCCACATTTTCTCCCTCTATTTTCCAGTTGTCAATCATTCTTGTTGCCATAATCTTGGTTTTTTTTTATGTTTAGCTGCAACCCGGCTTTTGCGCTTTCTTCTTTCACCTTGATTAGAAGGCTCCTCAGCTCCTCCTCGCTTTCGGCCATCAGAGTGGTGTCATCTGCATATCTGAGGTTGTGAATGGTTCTTCCAGCAACTTTCACCCCAGCTTTGCATTCCTCAAGCCCCGCACATCCTTGCATGATGTGTTCTGCGTACAAGTTCAAAAGGTTGGGTGAGAGGATGCAGCCTTGCCGTACGCCTTTCCCAATCTTGAACGAGTCTGTTGTTCCGTGGTCAGTTCTTACTGTTGCTACTTGGTCCTTGTACAGATTCCTCAGGAGGGAGACAAGGTGTCTTGGCATATGTTTGCCATAGATGCAGGCAAAACGTCAGGAGAGAATGCCTCTAGACCATGGCCATATAGCCCAAAAAAACCTACAACAACCTAATGATTCCAGCCATGAAAGCCTTTGACAATACACCTACTTATTTATTTATTTATTTATAACTTTTGTATCCTGATCTTCTCTACCTCCTTAGAGGGACTCAGACCAGCTAACAGCAAAGATTCAATGCTAACAATACAATCTAAAACATCATACATCAACAATAAATTAAAATACATATAGACTAAAATACATAAAAATCCAGTTCATCAAGATAAAATCATGTCCAACTCAGTCCACATATGTGGTCGATAACTTTCGTCAATTGCCAGTCTCCACCATCACTCTGGGAATGCCTCGTTCCATAGCCAGGATTTCACTAGCTTCCTGAAGGTCAGGAGGGAGGGGGCAGATCTGATCTCAGTCGGGAGAGAGTTCCATAGCCGGGGAGCCACCATAGAAAAGGCTCTGTCTCTCGTTCCCATCAGATGCGATTACAAGGGGGGTGGGACCAAGAGCAGGCCTTCAGAAGATCTTAACAACCTTGATGGTTCATAAGGGAGAATACATTCGGACAGGTAAATTGGGCCGGAACCATATAGGGTTTTGTAGGTTAAAACCAGCACTTTGAATTGTGCTCGGAAGCTAATTGGCAGCCAGTGGAGCTGGCACAACAGAGGAGTTGTATGCTCCCTGTACCCCACTATTGTTAGTAGCCTGGCTGCCAAGCATTTGACTAGTTGCAGTTTCCGGGCAGTCTTCATAGGCAACCCCATGTAGAGAGTGTTGCAGTAGTCTATATGGGATGTTTACTTACTTACTTAGGTGATCCCTCATTTTCCGAGGATGATTGTCTTCCAACATTCTTGTGGGTCCATATGCGGCTGTGGAGCCCTCTTCTTGCTCTGCATCTTCTTCTGCAGTGGGGGCATTGGTTTACAGGTGGAAGGCGGTCTCGGTCGGGGTTGGCTTGACGCGCCTTCCTCTTGGCACGCTTCTCCCTTTCGCCCTTTATTCATGCCTCCTCAAATTCTGCAGCACTGCTGGTCACAGCTGACCTCCAGCTGGAGCACTCAAGGGCCAGGGCTTCCCAGTTCTCAGTGTCTATGCCAGAGTTTTTAAGGTTGGCTTTGAGGCCATCTTTAAATCTCTTTTCCTGACCTCCAACATTCCGTTTTCCATTCTTAAGTTCAGAGGAGAGCAACTGCTTTGGGAGACCATGGTCAGGCATCCGGACAACGTGGCCGGTCCAGCGGAGTTAGTGGTGGAGGACCATCGCTTCAATGCTGGTGGTCTTTGCTTCTTCCAGCACGCTGACGTTTGTCCGCTTGTCTTCCCAAGAGATTTGCAGGATTTTCCGGAGGCAGCGCTGATGGAATTGTTCCAGGAGTTGCATGTGACGCCTATAGACAGTCCACGTTTCACAGGAATATAGCAGGGTTGGGAGGACAATAGCTTTATAGACAAGCTATTGTAACCCGTATCTTCTTCAGAGACTGAGGGAGTAAGACTGGCCCAAGATCCACAAATAGGCTTCTGTGACCAAATTGAACTGTTGACTCCTAGAGACTGGGAAGAACACTCAAATCTATACATCATATTGACTTGAGTTTATTATGCTCCCTTCACTCCCTTCAAAAAGCAAAGAATTGCTTTAGCTTTAGCTGCTTCCAGTTTATGAAAAAGCAGAACAAATTTTGCCGCATTCTTGACCTTTGTTGCCTCTCTCCTAAAAATTATGTCTCAGGTGCAAGTTCATTATGTTTATTGCAAATAACTTTGCATCTTCTCATGAATTAATTCCAAACTTAAAAGATTCCTACTTGATTGCAACAATTTCCCTCTTTCATTCCCTGCAGGGAGAAGTGGATGGAAAAGGAGGAGAAGCTCAGGAAGGCCATCAAGCAAGTCCTGAAATGTGACGTGACTTTGGCCAACCCTTTTGACCCGGTGGAGATCCATCCGGTCGACTGCATCCTCTCCACTTACTGCATAGAAGCAGCTTGCAAAGATCTCGACACTTACCGTTCAGCCATGAAGAATGTGGGCTCTTTGGTCAAACCTGGGGGACACCTCATCTTGGCCGTAGCTCTTGAAGAAACCTTCTACATGGTGGGACCACACAAGTTCTCCTCCCTTTACCTGACACCAGAAGTGATTAGAGATGTTCTGAAAGGGGCTGGCTTTGATATTGTGTCCTCTGAGGTCCACCTGCATGGTATTATGTTGCCTATCTCAGATGTCAAAGGCACATTGTTCCTAGTGGCCCAGAAGCCCCATGAGACCCAGTGAGTTAGTGAAAAAGGAAAGCAGCTGACCAAATGTAAGCCATAAGTCAGTGGTTCTCAACCTGTGGATCCCCATATGTTTTGGCCTTCAACTCCCAGAAATCCTAACAGCTGGGAAAATTGCTGGGATCTCTGGGAGTTGTAGGCCAAAACACCTGGAGATACACAGATTGAGAACCACTGCCATAAGTGAAGCCCATTCTTCAGGTCTGTGTCAGAAGCAAAAATCAGGTGATGAAGAAAACAAAATGACTACTTTTGAGAACCTTATACAGATGGTTATGAATAGGATGGTAACCAGGGGAAAATGATTAAATACTTAAACATACTGAGGTATAAATATGTTGTTGTTGTTCATTCGTTCAGTCGTCTCCGACTCTTCGTGACCTCATGGACCAGCCCACGCCAGAGCTCCCTGTCAGCCGTCACCACCCCCAGCTCCTTCAAGGTCAGTCCAGTCACTTCAAGGATGCCATCCATCCATCTTGCCCTTGGTCGGCCCCTCTTCCTTTTGCCTTCCACTTTCCCCAGCATAATTGTCTTCTCTAGGCTTTGCTGTCTCCTCATGATGTGGCCAAAGTACTTCAACTTTGTCTCTAGTTTCCTTCCCTCCAGTGAGCAGTCGGGCTTTGTTTCCTGGAGGATGGACTGGTTGGATCTTCTCGCAGTCCAAGGCACTCTCAGAACTTTCCTCCAACACCACAGCTCAAAAGCATCAAATATATTCAATAGTATTCCTGTATCTTTGTATTATGTACTGAGAAGTCAAGAGTAGAGATTCTTAGAAGGGAATGGGAAGGGGATGGGATGGGATGGGATGGGGGAAAAATACTTGTATTTTGATTGTTGAATTTCGAAGATTGAATGTTGCTCTGTATGTATATATAATTTTAAAACTTTCCAAAAAAAAAAGAAGCAAATATCAGGTATTACCAAGGAGGCTTAGGTCTCCCATGTCTGTGAATTGGTGAATCAAGTCAAGGTTTTAATCTGCATTTTAATGAGGCCTCCCTGGTGCTGAAGCTCATTCCTAAGTAACTCCAGGACCTTGGAGAGCTCCATTAAAACTATCCAAAACCTGGAAGGGATTCACTGACCACCTATTAGGGAGTCGATACTACCAATTGTTTTTTGGAGATGACAATTTTTAGAAAATACCAATGGCGACGTTGTCTTGGGGGTTCTGGGATTTGTAACACTTAGAAAAGTAACCATTTTCCAAAACCATATCAAGGGCGACAGGAAAACAGATTTCAGGTTATGGAATATATGTTTGTGTGTGTTGTCATCTATCTATCGATCTCTCTATCTTCAGTTAGCTCTTGCAAGCATGTAATGTTAAAGATGCCTTCTTGGTCTTTTCAAAAATACACACATCCTATAGATTTGGGGGCATCATCTGTGATCTGCCAAAAGAGCAAATATTTGAATTAAAAGCAATTTTGCAGAAATATTTATTGTGGGAAATGAACTGTGACAGGATGTGACTTAAGAATGGGAAGAATACGTGGAAATATTCAAAGAAAGCTATCAAAAGTGTTTCTCGGCTGCTGAGAAGCTCGATAAGAAGAACCCAGAGTTGAATACAATATTCGCTGCTCAGGACTCATTTCACGCAAAATTCTCATAGGCTTGTTCTGCCCTGGAAACAACATTTTTTTCTCTCTGCAGAGGCATGATACTAATATTTACCCAGGAAATGCTATTTTCTGTGCAAAGTAATGCTGTGATCACTAAAAGTCAACATAGATTTCTAAATAATAATAATAATAATAATAATAATAATAATAATAATAATAATTTTTATTTATACCCCGCCACCATCTCCACAAAGGGGACTCGGGGTGGCTTACATGAGGCCAAGCCCGTTATACAATTACAATAAAATGAAGAAATAAAAAAGAGGTCATGGCAGACTAATTGGGAGGAAGAGCCAATACTCCAGAGGACAGGATCCAAATTCAAAATGACCTTAATAGATTACAGAGCTGGGCCATTCTGTGGCATTGCAACATCCAGCCTTGGAGTCTTGGAAGTGGGATCACATTCCTCACTTCTTGCTTGAGGGAATTGAACTCCGGGAGGTTTTCCAGAGCTGGAGGAATAATTATGTGAACAACTCCACAGTTTTCAGAAACTTTATCATAGTAATGGACTCCTCACTAAGCCATTAAAAAGCATTGCATGACCTTGGGTGAACCACAAACCCTTGGCCCCATGAAACCCCATGGTTGGGTCACTTAGGTTCACCATAGGTCAAAAACAACTTCATGACAATAAACAACAACTTGGAATTTAAGGTCCATGGCATGCATTCTGGTGGACTCCCCTGACCTTGTTTGGTAATAAAAAGTGGGCACTCTTTGGTGCATCCCTCAACCCACCATTGCTGCTGTTGCTGGCAAATTAGGGAGGTGTATCCATCATTTGCAAAATCCACAATCTGAACATTGTGGATTTGTAAGGAGAGGTGTTCAGCAGTGGAACTCTCTCTCTGCCCCAAAGTGTGTTGGAGGCTCCTTCTTTGGAGGCTTTTAAACAGAGGTTGGATGGCCATCTGTTGGGGGTGCTTTGAATGTGTTTTTCCTGCTTCTTGGAAGAATGGAGTTGGACTGGATGGCCCATGAGGTCTCTTTCAACTCTATGATTCTATGATAAAAAGTGGGCACTCTTTGGTGCATCCCTCAACCCACCATTGCTGCTGTTGCTGCCAAATTAGGGAGGTGGATCCCACAGCTTCTGATGGATGTGGTGGCTCTCCTCCCTTGAAGCCCACTTTGGCAGAGTCCATTTTCCAGGCCAGTCCCACATTTCCATCCCATGTGGCCTTGACATTCACCTTACCATTCCTCCCCATTTATATCCCACCCCAAGACTGGGAAGAAAGCATTCCCGGCATTGGCATAAAATCCGATCAGTTCCAAACAAAACCCTGCACCAAAGTTGGGAGCGAGGCCGTTGACCAATATTCACTGTGGCCAAATGCCTTGTGGAGCTTGTCCAGGATGATAACAAGCCCCACCTGCAGCCAAGCAAAGCTTAAGATGCAGGAGGGCATTTTGAATTAACCCATGAAGGAGGCAGACTTGGTTTGGGCTAGCTAGTTTGCCCGGTCCTGTTCAACATCTTTATTAATGACTTAGATGAAGGGTTAGAAGGCAGGATCATCAAGTTTGCAGACGACACCAAATTGAGAGGGAGAGCCAAGACACCAGAGGACAGGAGCAGGATTCAAAATGACCTTGACAGATTAGAGAGATGGGTCCAAAACTAGCAAAATGAAGTTCAACAGAGACAAATGAAAGATGCTCAACTTAGGCAGAAAAAAATGAAATGCAAAGATACAGAATGGGGGGTGGCCTGGTTCGACAGCAGTACTTTTAAAAAAATCTTGGAGTCCTCGTGGACAACAAGTTAAACATGAGCCAACAATGTGATGTGGCGGCAAAAAAAGCCAATGGGATTTTGGCCTGCATCAATAGGAGCATAGTGTCTAGATCTAGGGAAGTCATGCTACCACTCTATTCTGCTTTGGTTAGACCACACCTGGAATATTGTGTCCAATTCTGGGCACCACAATTCAAGAGAGATATTGACAAGCTGGAATGTGTCCAGAGGAGGGCGACTAAAATGATCAAGGGTCTCGAGAACAAGCCCTATGAGGAGCGGCTTAAGGAGCTGGGCATGTTTAGCCTGAAGAAGAGAAGGCTGAGAGGAGATATGATAGCCATGTATAAATATGTGAGAGGAAGCCACAGGGAGGAGGGAGCAAGCTTGTTTTCTGCTTCCTGGAGACTAGGACGCGGAACAATGACTTCAAACTACAAGAGAGGAGATTCCATCTGAACAGGAGGAATAACTTCCTGACTGTGAGAGCCGTTCAGCAGTGGAACTCTCTGCCCCGGAGTGTGGTGGAGGCTCCTTCTTTGGAAGCTTTTAAACAGAGGCTGGATGGCCATCTGTCAGGGGTGATTTGAATGCAATATTCCTGCTTCTTGGCAAAATGGTTGGACTGGATGGCCCATGAGGTCTCTTCCAACTCTTTGATTCTATGATTCTATGAAGGGGCAGAGCAGCAAGTTGGGTGAGGCTGCTCTGTTCCTCTCTTTCAGTTTCCCTTTGACGGTGTGATCCACCCTCCCTCCCTCCGTAATAACAGTGTGAGTATAGACTGGCCGCACATTGGCCGGGTAGGAACTTCCCCCCTCCCCCCAAGTTTGCATTGGGGTTTTTTTCGCCTACCTCATACTGTTTCAGATGGGTGTGGTAATTGGCTTTGAGGTGGTGTCATTTAAATAGGTTTCCTTGAGTATTAATAAGTTTCCATGGCATGTTAAAGGTGAAATGGTTATGGTAGGCACCGTGGCACCCCCGCCTTAGGGGGTGAAGGGTGGACTCCCACAAAAGTCCCCAGAAGTTTTCATAAAATGGGAGCTACCCTTGGGGCTGGATTGAGGGTTCTCACTCTTGAAAAACTCTGAGGTTTGGGAGGGAGCGCCCACATGATGGCCTTCCAACTATGATCAGCCGAGAGGTGCAGACAAAGAATTTTGCTTGGCTCTCGGGATCCTTAGTGCACGCTTGTCCTTGGAGGTGGTCAGACGGAGTGACCCCTGGCCCAGGGACTAGGCTCACTAGGTGGCCATTAAGCCATGAGTTATATTTTGCATTTTTACAGATTTTCCCTCTACAGCTTATTACAAGTTATTTCAATAAATAGGTCGGAAAATGTCCCTTTAGATCCATTTTCTTGTGTCTGACTCTTTATTTCATGGTGGGGATTCAAATGCAGTACCACAGTTCAGGAACTTGCCAGACTTGAAAGACAAATATATATTTAAATAGTTTTTTGGACCGAAGCTTTGCTCGTAAACCTCCTTCTCCCTCCGTGGTACCTCTGAGCCCAAATGTACCCAAATGTTCTTTTTCTCTGTTAGTTTCTCTGTTCTCTGCCTCCCTCTTTGCGATTCCCTGAATTCAGGAACATGATCCCAGAGGAGGGGCCATTATGTCACAGTAAAATGTATCCCTCTCCATCTGGCAAATGTAGCTGTGTTCCCACAAACAAACAACATTTCAGGACATTGTAAGTTGCCCAACCGAAATCAAGAACACAAAGATCTTCTGGGCACAGCCTGGTCCAAAGGTGAGGCATAATGTTCAAGTGAGCATCCTTCGAGGTACATCCTCAAAATAGGGTGTGTTCGTTATTGTTCTGAGAAGTCCTCCCATTGGCACATAATGTCCCCCATGATTGTTCAACTCAACAAGAGTTTCCTTCTTGGAAAAGGGAATACATTCATTGGTTTTGTGGGATAATTGATCAGATCTCCAAGCTCTTGGGAGGACCGTCTTTATGTAACCCTCACATGAAATAAGAAGGTTACATAAGAACTCTCCTCCCCAGATACTGTGAAACAAAGCATATGGCAGCCAAAGCTATAAAATTATGAAACCATATAAAAGGATGAGCCCATTAAAGTGGCAAACCCTATGAGCCAAAGTCCACTGGATGCTTTGCGGGCTCCAAGGCACCATGGAAGGGGATTTCACTGGGAAAGAGACGTACCATCTGGATTTCGATCCCAAAGGTTATTTCAATATGTACAAGAACTTTGGCCTGGGAATCTCTCCAGGAAATGATGAGAGGCTGTGCTTCATTCTGGAGCATCTCCACAAGACATTTGCACACGGTGAGTGTGACCGGGCTTCTTGAGACTATCTCAGTGTGGCATTTGCAATGGGTTGGGTGAATACAAGAGGTGTTATGGTCAGTTCAACTGATGTAGCTCAGCCTTGCCGTCATCTCAACCCAGGGTAGCAAAGGATGGTGCTGTGGAGGAGGGGGATGAGATGCAAATAATCAAAAGGAGGGTGGAGGCTAAATCTAATGTTGGTATCACCTTTGAGTAGGTCCGTTGAGTAGGTGCATTTCAGGGTTGACTAGCAAGGCATGTTCATTCCAATGATCTGCTGGAGTCACATTAGGTTTAGCCCAGCATTTCATCAAAACGAGGAAGGGATGAATCTCTTGCCTTTGGAGAAACTTTGACTGAGCTCCAACAGTGAACCTGTGTAAATTTATTTTATTAATTTACTATATTTATATCCTGCTTTTCTCGACCCTATAGTATAGGCAATAATTCAATGCCTTAAAAACAATATACATCCAATATACAATTAAATAAACATTTCAATTGAAAAGTTAAAAACCAGATTAGAAAACATCAAAACATTTAAAACATTACAATTATAAACCATGTTATCCACAATCATAGTCCAGGCCATTCCGGTAATCATTATACATAATTCCAAGTCCATCGATTGCACTGGATTATTCACCAAAGGCTTGATCCCATAGCCACATTTTCACCCTTTTTCTGAAGATCGGGATGGAAGGGGCTGATAGTGAACCTGTGTAAATTTATCATTGGAGAGGGAGTTCCACAGCCACAGCCAAGGGCCACCACTCAGAAGTCCCTGTCTCTCCTTCCCACCAAAGGCTTGATCCCAAAGCCATGTTTTCACCCTCTTTCTGAAGGTCAGGAGGGAAGGGGCTGATCTAATATCATTGGAGAGGGAGTTCCACAGCCAAGGGCCACCACTCAGAAGTCCCTGTCTCTCATTCCCACCAAAGGCTTCATCCCAAAGCCACATTTTCGCCCTCTATCTGAAGGTCGGGAGGGAAGGGGCTGATCTAATATCATTGAAGAGCGACTTCCATAGCCAAGCAGCCACCAATCAGAAGACCCTGTCCCTTGTTCCCACCAAAGGTTTGATCCCAAAGCCACGTTTTCACCCTCTTTCAGAAGGTCGGGATGGAAGGGGCTTATTTAATATCATTGAAGAGGGAGATCCATAGCCAAGTGGCCACCACTCAGAAGACCCTGTCTCTCATTCCCACCGATCACACCTGTGACTGAGAGCAGGGCGTCTCCGGACAATCTTAAACTTCGAGGTGGTTCATAGGGGGCAATACGTTCAGGCAGGTAAACTGGGCCAGACCTGTTTATAGGCAAAAGTGGGACTTGTTTCCCATCCCCGTCCTCCTACAGCCTTCCATGACATAGAGCTTGCATCACCCCTTGATGCCAGTCTATAGGAGACACCTGCATTTATATCTCACTGGCTTTGGCATAAACAACAGGGCAAAAATAAAACATATCTTTGCATCCTGGCTTCTATAAAGTTTAGTTGGGATTGTCCTATAGAGTTAATGACAACTGATACTAGTTGCCTACTTCAGTCGAGTGTGTTGAGGACATACAAGTAAGAAGCTTCTTAATAGCCTCATTTCATGTAGGAAGTGCACTGGGAGCCCTCTTTTCTCTTTTCCAATTCCTTGCTATAAGCAGTCTTGCTATAGTTAATAAATTTGTTATCGCATCTTTATCCTCTTTTTTCAATTGTTTATTGTTATATAATGATAATAAAGCTATACTAGGACTTCTTTCTATTTTAATATTCATTATATCTTCTATTTCTCTAAATACTTACCCCAAAAAATTATTTACATATTTATATTGCCACCACATATGTATATATGTTCCTGATTCGTGACATCCTTTTTTTATATATTTGCTATTCTTACTGGTGTTAGGTACCATTTCCATATTAACTTGTAACAATTTTCTTTAACCCGTATTGATAAGTTTTTTAGATGTTTTTGTCTCCATGATTGTGGCCACTCTATTTCGTTTATTTTTATCCCTAAATCTTCTTCCCAGACCTCCTTGAGGGTGTTGTTTTTTTGTTTTTTCCTTCCTTTATTTCAATTATTATCTTATATATTTTACTAGTTATTCCTTTCAAATTTTCATGCTCCTCTACAACCCTTCCATTTTGTATTATCTGTTCAAATTGGTTAAGCTTAATTCCATTTTTATTATTTTTTCCCAATTTTTAAACCTTTGTTCTAATTGTATGCAAGGGAACCATGTCAATTTTGTTTCTCTAAATTCTTCCAAAATCGTTTCCTTCTTCATTACGACCTTTATCCAATCCCCTATTTTGTCTAATTTTTTCCTTTAATTTTTTATCCATTACTTTTTTTTTAAAAAAAAATGCAATTTATTTTCCATTACAATTGGGGTTATTACTGAACCCTCCGTTATTAACATTCTCCTATATTTGTTCCATACTTCTGGGCACCACAATTCAAGAGAGATATTGACAAGCTGGAATGTGTCCAGAGGAGGGCGACTAAAATGATCAAGGATCTGGAGAACAAGCCCTATGAGGAGCGGCTTAAGGAGCTGGGCATGTTTAGCCTGAAGAAGAGAAGGCTGAGAGGAGATATGATAGCCATGTATAAATATGTGAGAGGAAGCCACAGGGAGGAAGGAGCAAGCTTGTTTTCTGCTTCCTTGGAGACTAGGACGCGGAACAATGGCTTCAAACTACAAGAGAGGAGATTCCATCTGAACATTAGGAAGAACTTCCTGACTGTGAGAGCCGTTCAGCAGTGGAACTCTCTGCCCCGGAGTGTGGTGGAGGCTCCTTCTTTGGAAGCTTTTAAACAGAGGCTGGATGGCCATCTGTCCGGGGTGCTTTGAATGCAATATTCCTGCTTCTTGGCAGAATGGGGTTGGACTGGATGGCCCATGAGGTCTCTTCCAACTCTTTGATTCTAGGATTCTATGATTCTATGATTCTCTATGATTGCTCAACATTGGGTTTCTAATTTCCCTAGTTTCTTTTCTCGTAAACTGTTTAAAAAATATATTCCAAATTTCTTCCTCCAAAAAAAAAGGAAGACAAAATAGATTTTGAAATAGCCACATGAGGAATCTATTAATGCAATGATAAGGAAAGAGTTTTGTTAGATCCTCGTTCCATATGGCGTGGTGTCACAAGGTTCATGGGTGGGAATGGGGAGGGGGTGGGGCTGGATTAAATAATAGATGTATCTCGATTGTTGAATTTTAAAGATTGTCTATTTATTTTTCTTCATATAACACAATTAAAAAGTATACAAAAGACCAGAAAGAAAGAGAGGAAGTGGGGTGTTGGAAGTAAAGAGTGAATTGTGAGACTTTGCTTCTGGGAAGACTGCTGGCCATCCATATTAAAGAACCAGAGAGCTAATAATCCCAGTCCTACCTCATGTCAAAGAGATTGAATGGGTTGGTTGGTCCAAAAGAGACCATCATCCAAATGGTGTGGGTCAGGGGTGAGAAAGTGGAGGAAGTGGAGAGTTCATCCAAAGGGACAGGGCATTCTCACAGTGTTTCTCAACCCCAGGTGGCATCCGAGGAGACACCCTGATCGACATTGGAAGTGGTCCCTCCATCTACCAGCTCCTCTCCGCCTGTGAATCCTTCAAGGAAATCATTGCCAGTGATTTAGTTGAGAAGAACCGGGAGGAGATGCAGAAATGGCTGAGGAAGGATCCGAAGGCCTTCAACTGGACCCCGATGGTGAAATATGTCTGCCAGATTGAGGGGAACAGGTATGGAGAGATAGTTTCATTAATCAAAGGAAAGGGAAGCTTGTGGTTCACCAGGGAGTTTTTGGATTCCGGTTCCCAGCATGCCTCACCATTGGCAATGCCTCCTAGGACCAGCCACACTGGTGATATCATCACCAAGTAATGCCCAACCTTGTAGATACATGTCTCAGTGGAAGGAAGGTCTTACTCCTAGAAAGCCCTGCCAAATGTGTTCCTCCATCCATGACAATGAGACACCATGTGCCCATCATTACTTTTGCAAGCAGCATTCCAACAGAATTTGGAAATGTTACTTCTTTGGACTCCAGCTCCCAGAATTGCCCAACTCCACTTGAATAGCACTGATCCGACTCTTGTAGCCCAGAAGAATAATGTCTTCAGGCTGTTTACTCTGTTTTGAAAGAATAGTGTCTTCTCATGTCACAACAAGACTGAACACCCAAAGTGAAATGACATTATGCAGGGTTATCACACTTCCCAATGTGTGGTCCACGGACCACCAGTGGGCCACAAGAATGAAAATACGGTTCATGACCTCACCATTACTACATTATTGCCTTGAAACCATGCAACAATGAAAGCGAGTGTTCAAAGTGGTCCCCGGTCAAAGAGGTCCCCAGTTTTAACATGGTCCCTGGTCAAGTGGCCCCAGTCAAAGTGGTTCCTGGTCAAAGTGGTTCCTGGTTAAAGTGGCCTCTGCTCAAGTGGTCCCTGGTCAAATGGCCCCTGGTCAAGTGGCCTCTGCTCAAGTGGTCCCAGGTCAAAGAGGTCCCTGGTCAAAGTGATCCCTGGTCAAGTGGTCCCCAGTCAAAGAGGTCCCCGGTCAAAGTGGTCCCTGGCTAAAGTGGTTCCTAGTCAAAGAGGTCCCTGGTTAAAGTGGTCCCTGCTCTAGTGGCCCCTGGTCAAGTGGTCCCTGGTCAAGTGGTCCTCGGTCAAAGTGGTCCCACTGCTTTAGGCTTCTCTTTTCTCCCTTAAGCTCAAAGATGCAAAATCTGGAATCTTTTCTAGACAAGGCTGCAATGTTTAGTTATTAGGCCTGGGTAACAACGGAAAAATTTGTTTCTAAAATCGATTCGTTTTTTGGGGGGTTTTTGCGTTTCGTTATTTAAAATAATTACAAAATTTTCCTTTTAAAAAGTTCGATATTTACGAAATTTCGTAAATGTAAAAAAATTACAAAACATTAACGAAACGATTTCCGAAACAATAATGAATCGATTCGTTATAGGCGGACGCGACCGCGAAATACGCTAAAAAACCTCCAAATGGGACAGGGGGAACTTCTGAAGCTTCCCTCTCCCTCTGTTGTTGACTGTTGGTGTGATATTATAATTTTTTTTCACTAATTAAACAAAAAACAACTATAAAACTTGCCCCAGACATGCGGAAATAATAACGAAACGACCTCAAAACGATAATGAAACGAATACATAACAAATTACGAAACATTTACAAAACGTATTTAAAAATTCGTTTTTTTAAAAAAAATGCTCCAGAATGGTTTGTTATCGCTTCGTAATCAAGAAAATTAACGAATTATTAACGAATTACGAATTAACGAAACGAAACCGCCCAGCCCTATTAGTTATCAGTTGGTTCACTAAAGAATGCCTAACTCATCTCAGGCTCTTTTATCTAAAACATATTTCATCTCCAATCTATAGGGCAAGGGATGCCTTGATAGGCTTCCAATCCTTGGGAATTGATTACCAGTTCTGCCACAGAGTCCAATGGCTCCTACCACACCCTGGAGAAGTACTTCTGGGTAGCTTCATGGGGACATTCTCTCAACAAACCCTGCCACCGGTGGTCAATGGGGGTTTCCCTGTCTTTCCATTTGGAAAGGTGGGTTGAGCAGGCTTACCAAGGCTTCCCCCTTGTGATAAAGTAGAGGGGCAGGATGGTGCAGGGCATGGGGAAATAAGTCCCCATGCTTTCTGGGTGGGCACCACCTCAACCACCGCAATCCACCACGATACTGGATGATTCCAATGATGGATGTGAAGAAGCCCTTAGTTTTAGCATTGATCCTACATGGAGAGAGAGGAGGCAGAGATATGGAATGGAATGGATAGATACCAGAGTTGCCATATGCCTGGAATAGAATGGAATGGAAAGGAATGGATTGCCCTGGAATGGGATGGGATGGAATGTATGCCAGGGTTGCCATATGCCTGATATAGAATGGAATTGAATAGATAGATGCCAGGGTTACCATATATCTGGATTGGACTGGACTGGACTGGACTGGAATAGGTGGATGCTTGAGTTGCCATATGCCTGATATGGAATGGAGTGGATAGATGCCAGTGTTTCCATAGGCTTGGACTGGACTGGACTGGAGTACATTGGAATGGAATGGAATGGAATGGAATGGAATGGAATGGAATGGAATGGAATGGAATGGATAGATGCCCGAGTTGCCTGATATGGGATGGATAGATGCCAGGGTTGCCACATGCCTGGAATGGAATGGAATGGAATGGAATAGAATAGACTGGACTAGCTTGGAATGCAATGGAATGGGACGTATGCCAGGGTTGCCATATGCCTGGACTGGAATAGAATGGAATGGATAGATGCCAAGGTTGCCTTATGCCTGATATGGAATGGAATGGATAGATGCCAGAGTTGCCATGTGTGCGCTGTTGCACTATCCTGTTCAAATCATATTCCTGCAGGTAGTCCACATCTTATCATATTGGGATGGACAAAGTCATGTAACATTGAAATGTAGCACGCGGACATCACTGTCACAGCAATGACCACCTCTTCAAAAACATACAGAGAGATGATTCCCACTGTGATACACCACACCAAACTGTGCCCTTGGGGCTGTGGAGAGGCTGTTGGCTCAGCTCTTGTGGGTAATCCATTACCCAGTACTTACTTACTGAACCATTCATGTGAATGTCACTCATAATCCCTACAGCACCGTCATCCTTGGCCAAAATGGCAAGCATTTCCTGACAGAACATTTTGTATTGTGCAAAATCCTCGACTTTCAAGTGCTGCACAATCATTATCTTGTCTGTAGCTGTAAGCCACTCTGAGTCCCCTTCAGGATGAGAAGAAATATAGTAAATAAATAAACAAATAAATAACACATTGCTTTCAAGCTTTGGAAAGGAAGGGTTTTCCCATGATTGTCCCATGCGAGTTTCCCCCTTTCATTCCTTGCAGGGAGAGGTGGATGGAAAAGGAGGAGAAGCTCAGGAGGACCATCAACCAAGTTCTGCCATGTGACATGAACCTGGCCAACCCTTTCAATCCTTTGGTGGTCCCACCGGCTGACTGCGTCCTCTCCACTTACTGCCTGGAAGTGGCTTCCAAAGATCTTCATACTTACCGTTCAGGCATAAGGAAGATAGGTTCCTTGGTCAAATCTGGGGGCCACCTTGTCTTAGTGATGGCTCTTGGAGGAACCTACTACATGGTTGGGCCACACAAGTTTTCTTGCATTTACCTGACACCAGAGATAGTCAAAGAGGCCATCAAAGAAGCCGGGTTTGATACGGTGCACTTTGACATCCTCAACTTCAATATGCCAATGACCTATGCTAATGGCCAGAATGTGGGCTTCCTAGTAGCCCAAAAGCATCAAGAAGCCTAGCTATCCATCATTTCCCTAATTGTCCTTTGATGGATTCCTAAGGCAGAAGCAGTATTTTCAGTGACACTCTCAACCTGATCCACACAAACAGTCAAAGCTTGTAAACACCAGCAACTGGGGACTACAACTTCCACAATATTTCTCCCTCCCAGATGACATGGATAGTGGGGATGATGGACCTTTGTTTTGATTTGCATTGTAAATCCACAAAAGCTTTACATCAAGTCTTTTTGTTAGTTGCCACTTTGTAGTTTTTGCTTCCCTGATTCATTACTATTAAAGGCGAACCATTGTTTTTTGTTCGTTGCAGACAACATGGCTAGCATTGTTTCAGGTTCTGTCCCACATTCCCCCATTCATTCCTTGCAGTGAGACCTGGCTGGAAAAGGAGGAGAAGCTCAGAAGCATCATCAAGCAAGTCCTGAAATTCGACGTGACTTTGGCCAACCCTTTCGATCCTTTGGTGGTCCCTCCAGCTGATTGCGTCCTCTCCACTTGTTTCCTGGAAGCAGCTTCCAAAGATGTTCCTGCTTATCGCTCAGCCCTGAAGAACTTCGCTTCCATGGTCAAACCTGGAGGCCATTGTAATACCAATGGGAGCCACCTACTACATGGCTGGGCAAAGCAAGTTCACCAACCTTTGCTTGACTCCAGAGATGGCCAAAGTGGCTGTGAAAGAGGCTGGTTTTGATATTGTACGCTTTGAGAACCTCAACGTGGATTTTCCAGTGGCGCTGAGCGATGGTAGCTCAAAAGTTCAACAAAGCCTAGGTGGAAAAGTAAAGGAGTGATCCTTTGAGGGATTCCTGAAAGGACAAGACATGTTCTCACACTTCAAGGTGGTGACAGCTAAATCTGACCCACACAATTGGAGAAAGTTTGTAAATGTCAGCTTTTGGGGAACACTGCTCCCAGAATCCTGGAAAGTTGGGATTCTGGTCCTTTATTTTGATTGGATTTATATCCCTTCTTTTCCCCAAATGGGACCCAAAGTGGCTTGCAATACAAATTAAGATTGAGGTCCACAAAGGTGTTACACCGAATCATTTTTATTCATTTCCCCTTCATGATTTTTGCTGCCCTGAAGGCTAACTCGTCTCTGTTCCCAATCCATTCATATTAAGGGCTAACCAGTTCTATTTCTCAAAAAGCATGGGTTATTTTGCACTTATCAGGCAACGAGGCTCATATTTCACTAATATAAGGTTGCTTAAAACACTCCTTTTAAAAAAACAACTCAAAAGAGTGACTGAGGATGCAACAAGAGATGGAAACCTGGCGTTGGGAGGCTCACCTTGCATTCTTGGTTTCCATCTTTGCTTGGTGGTACCTTTGGTCATCCAAGAACAAGGAGCAGTTGGTGTTCTGAGGTTTTTCCAATAGGAATATTTGGCATCAGCATGAAGCAAAGCACAACATTGCAAGTACAATATGTGCTTGCAGTAGAAAACCAGGTTAAAAAAGAGGAAAATTGTCATTGACCTTTTGCTATAATTGGATCCTATGCTTAGGCCATGCCAGGTTTTTATGTCTGTTATGTTATTCCACTTATGCTTCTGAGATACATACTGTACGTGTGTATTCCATGTTGGCTGATACAGTAGAGTCTCGCTCATTCAAAATAAACTCACTGGCAGAACGTTGCATAAGTGAAAATGTTGGATAATAAGGAGTGATTAAGGATCCGCCTATTAAATGTCAAATTATGTTATGATTTTACAAATTAAGCACCAAAACATCATGTTTTGCAACAAATCAACAGAAAAAGCAGCTCAATACACAATAACGTTATGTAATAATTACTGTATTTACGAATTTAGCACCCAAACAGACAAGGGTTATTTCTTTCTCCCACCCTGGACATTATTCTGGGTGGGAGGCAGACCGTGCTTGATAATACAGAACGTTGGATGAGCAAAGGTTGGATAAGCGAGACTCTACTGTATAGAGATATTGCACATGCAGTGGCATAGTATTATATTCAAATGCATGTGTAAGTTTATTAGGGTTCTGCTTGTTGTATTAGTCAATAGGGAAATATATAATGGGAGTTAGGGTCGACAAGGAAGCTCCTTGTTAGAAGGTTATTGCCCAGCAGAGGGTAGTACAACTTGCCTTAGAGATGCCATGTTTTGATCCACCCAAGATCTTTCTCATTGGTAGAACTCTGGGAATGAGATAATGTTTGGATTGGAATACAAAGAGAAGAAAAGTCTACAAAAAATACAGTGTATATTACAGTTTGACAAATGGTGAAACAGCCCGCAAAACATGCAAACTATAAAAGATGCAATGTTTAGAAGGTGGCCAGTTCTGACAATCACCACAACGTAGTAGCGATTTCCTGTTCTTTTTCAATAAAGCTTACCTCCAATGATGGCGTCTATGTCTGTTCTTTTGCAAGGCATTTTACCTGCAAAATGGCCATTGAAGGCATCACAGTGAGCCCCAAGGGTTCTAGAAGTGGGTTCGGAGGGGAGGACACGTGGGTAAAATTTCTCACCACTACGAACTGCATGGCTGGATATGGATCCCCAGGCACTTTCTTTGCTTCACATATGGCCAACTTATGGGTGGCCTTACCAAGTCTGGTTGCACAGAATTTGAGTTTTACTCCATGTGCACTCTACCCATCATCGTTTGCATTTTGATTCCTTGAGCACCTCCATATAATAAGGAGACTAGAGGGACGTTTAGGAGCAATCATGTCAATAGTCCTGGTTAGATTTTTATTCCACTTATTGACCAGGTCTTCAAAAGGATCCTTGGTGATGCCAGCCATAGAACCCCCTGAGGCCTCCTGGAATCTCAAAAGGACCAATAAGTCTTTGAAAGTGGACCATAGAGGCAGCTGGTAAAGATCTCCCCACTTACTGTTCAGCCATGAAGAACGTGGGCTCCTTGGTCAAACCTGGGGGACACCTCATCTTGGGGGTGGCTCTTAAAGAAACCTTCTACATGGTGGGGCCACACAAGTTCTCCTCTCTTTGCCTGACACCAGAAATGGTTAGAGATATTCTGAAAGGGGCCAGCTTTGATACTGCGTCCTCTGAAGTCCACCTGCATGATATTCAATTGCCTATCTCAGATATCAAAGGCACATTGTTCCTAGTGACCCAGAAGCCTAAAGAGACCTAGTGAGTTAGTGAAAAAGTAGATTTCAGGTTATGGGATACAGAAGTGTGTATTTTCATCTATCTATCTATCTATCTATCTATCTATCTATCTATCTGTATATCTATCTTCTAGGGCTGGGCGGTTTCGTTTCGTTAATTCGTAATTCGTTAATAATTCGTTATTTTTTTCAATTACAAAACGATAACGAACCATTCTGGAGCAATTTTTTTAAAAAAACCGAATTTTTAAACACGTTTTGTAAATGCTTCGTATTTCGTTATTGTATTCGTTTCGTTATTGTTCTGAGGTCGTTTCGTTATTATTTCCGCATGTCTGGGGCAAGTTTTTTGTTTAATTAGTGAAAAAAAATTATAATATCACACCAACAGTCAACAACAGAGGGAGAGGGAAGCTTCAGAAGTTTTTGGAGGTTTTTTAGCGTATTTCGCGGTCGCGTCCGCCATTAACGAATAGATTCGTTATTGTTTCGGAAATCGATTCGTTAATGTTTCGTAATTTTTTTACCATTTACGAAATTTCGTAAATATCGAACTTTTTAAAAGAAAAATTTTGTAATTATTTTAAATATCGAAACAAAAAAAACCCAAATACAAATCGATTTTAGAAACAAATTTTTCCGTTGTTACCCAGGCCTACTACCTTCAATTAGCTCTTTCAAGTAGCTCTTGATCTTTTGGGAAAGATTTTATACCAATACTGTCAATGCTGTCACAATGCTCTTTGTGAGCTGTCAAAAGAGCAAATATTTGAATTAAAAACAATTTTCCAAAAACTATTCATTCTGGGAAATGGATTGTGATTGGATGTGACTTAGAAAAGGGAAGAATATATGGAAATATTTTTTAAAAAATTCAAAAAGTGTTTCTCGGCTGCTGAGAAGCTTGATAAGAAGAACCCTGAGTTGAATACAATATTCGCTGCTCAGGACTCATTTCACGCAAAATTCTCATGGACTTGTTTTGTCCTGGAAACAACTTATTTCTCTCTGCAAAGACATGATACTAATATTTAGTCAGAAAGGAAAGGTTATTTTTTGTGGATTCTGTGCAGAATAAGTCTTGAATTGCAAATAATCTTTAAAATCTCCACAGTTTTCAAAACTTTCCTCATAGTTATGGGTTTCTCACTCAGCCATAGAAAAGCATTGAGTGGCCTTGGGTGAACCACAAACCCTCAGTCCCATGAAACTGCATGATTTGGGTCACTTGGAGTCACCGTAAGTCAGAAACAACTTCACGGCAACTAACAATAAACAGAAATTTAAGCTCCCTGGCATGAATTCTGGTGCCCTCCCCTGACACAAGATTCTTTGGAAATAAAAAAGCAGAAACTTTTTTGTGCAGCTCTCGACCCACCATTGCTGTTGTTGCTCACAAATTAGGGAGGTGCCTCCCTTGTTGGCACTTTGCAAAAGCCACAATCTGATGCTGGATCCATCAGCTTCTGATGGACGTGGTGGCTCTCCTTCCTTGAAGCCCACTCTGACAGAGCCCACTGTCTGAACATTGTGGATTTGTAAGGAGAGCTGTTCAGCAGTGGAACTCTCTCTGCTGCAAAGTGTGGTGTTGGCTCCTTCTTTGGAGGCTTTTAAGCAGAGGCTGGATGACCATCTGTCAGTGGTGCTTTGAATGTGATTTTCCTACTTCTTGGCAGAATGGGGTTGGACTGGATGGCTAACAAGGTCTCCTCCAACTCTATGATTCTATGATGGTGGATCCCACAGCTTCTGATGGACGTGGTTGCTCTCCTCTCTTGAAGCCCACTCTGGCAGAGCCCATTGTCCAGGCCTGTCCCACATTTCCACCCCTTGGGCCCTTGACATTCACCTTGCCATTCCTCCCCACTTCGATCCCACCTCAGGACTCGGACAAAAGTATTCCTGGCATTGGTATAAAATCTTCAGTTCCAAACAAAACCCTGCACCAAAGTTGGGGGCGAGGCCCTTGACCAATACTCACCTTAATAATGATAATAAATAATAATAAATTTATACCCCGCCACCATCTCCCGCAGGACTCGGTGCGGCTTACAAGAGGCTGAGCCCAAATACATCAATAAAACACAACAACAATACAACAATAAATAACTCATAACAAAGCAGAACAATAACAATAATATCACGACGCATTTAGAAACCTGTGGCAGGGCCAAATGTAATGATTAAAATTTAAAAAATGCTGGGCATGTCCAAGAGAAATAGGATGGATATTTTAGGGATATGTGGGCGTGCAGACAATTCTAAATCTCTTGTAAAGTACATTTAGGGACATATTGCTTGGGATTCCTTATTCTGGGAAGGCACGCTGGAACATCCATGTTTTCAAGCTCCTTCTAAAGACTGCCAATGTTGGGGCATGCCTGATGTCCTTGGGGAGTGAGTTCCAGAGTCAAGGGGCCACCACCGAGAAGGCCCTGTCCCTCATTCCCACCAATCGCGCTTGCAATGCAGATGGGATCGTGAGCATTGCCTCTCCAGATGAACGAAGAGATCATGTGGGTTCGTATACAGAAATGCGGTCACGCAGGTAGATGGGTCCCAAACTGTTTAGGGCTTTGTAGGTAAGACCTGCACCTTGAATTGGGCCCGGAAAATGAACAGCAGCCAATGGAGCTCCCTAAACAGGAGGGTTGACCTCTCCCTGTAAGGAGCACCAGTTAGCAACCTGGCTGCCACCCGTTGAACCAACTGAAATTTCCGGGCTGTTTTCAAGGGCAGCTCCACGTAGAGTGCATTACAGTAGTCCAACTTGGAGGTGACTAAGGCATGGACCACCCTGGCCAGATCCGCCTTCACGAGGTACGGTCGCAGTTGGCACACGAGTCTCAATTGTGCAAAGGCCCTCCCGGCCACGGCCGACGCCTGAGCTTCAAGCGTAAGTGATGAGTCCAGAAGGACACCCAAACTGCGGACCTGTGACTTGACCAAATGCCTTGTGAAGTTTGTCCAGGATGGTAGCAAACCCAGTGCTGCAGTTCAGAAGTTGCTAGACTCGAAAGACAAATACATCTTTAAATGGTTTTTTGTACCGAAGCTTTGCTCGAAACCTCTTTCCCTGTGAATTCTCCCTCCATGGTACCTCTGAGCCCACAATGTACCCAAATGTTCTTTTTCTCCATTAGTTTCTCTGTTCTCTGCCTCCCTTTTTGCGATTCCCTGAATGCAGGCACATGATCCCAGAGGAATTTTAACAGGAGCGGAGCGCAGGGAGCATACAACCCCCCTGTTGCGCCAACTCCACTGGCTACCGATCTGCTACTGGGCTGAATTCAAAGTGCTGGCGTTGGCCTTTAAAGCCCTAAACGGTTCCGGCCCAAGCTACCTATCTGACCGCATCTCTGTCTATGGACCCACCAGGACTTTGAGATCTTCCGGGGAGACCCTGCTCTCGATCCCGCCTGCTTCTCAAGCTCGGCTGGCGGGGACGAGAGATAGGGCCTTCTCGGTGGTGGCTCCTCGGCTGTGGAACGCCCTTCCTACGGACATTAGACTAGCACCATCTCTAATGGTATTCCGCAAAAAGGTGAAGACCTGGATGGTTGTGCAGGCGTTTCAGTAATTTAGTACAATCTGGTAATGGAACATAGGAATGGAACAATGGACGACGAATCTGGACTACGCTTGGATGATGAGAAGATTGGGTACGGTTGTTTTTTGTAATAATTGTGCATTGTAATTGCTTATTGGTAATTTATGGATAATGTGTTAAGTCAATTGTTATATGTTGTATGGAACCACTGCTGTTTCTACTGTTTCTACTGTTTGTGAACCGCTGTGAGTCGCCTTCGGGCTTGAGATACAGTGGTATAGAAGCAAAGTAAATACATAAATAAATAAATAAATAAATAATAAATAAGGGTCATTATGTCACAGTAAAATATAAACCTCTACATCTGGCAACTGTAGCTGTGTTCCCACAAACAAACAGCATTTCAAGACATGTAAATTCTAGGCTTGGGTAACCATGGAAAAATTTGGTTCTAAACTCGTTTTGTTTTTAGGGGGCCCTTGCATTTCGTTTTTTTTAATAATTCTGAAATTTTCCTTTAAAAAATTTCGAAATTTACGAAATTTCGTAAAATTACGAATCGATTCGTTAATGACGGACGAGATTGCGCAATATGCTAAAAAAAAACCTCCAAATGGGACAGGAGGAACTTCTGAAGCTTCCCTCTCCCTCTGTTGTTGACTGTTGGTGTGATAAAACAAACAACAACTATAAAACTTGCACCAGGCATGCGAAAATAATTACAAAATAATTACAAAAAAATTACGAAATAATTACGAAATAAATTGGAAAAATTGTTTCGAATCTTAATTACTCCTCACACTATTCCTGTATGGCTCAATATTGGATCGTAAGCTAATTTAAATACGAATTAATAACGAATTACGAAATTAACGAACGAAACCGCCCAAGCCTAGTAAATTCCCCAACCGAAATCAAGAACACAAAGATCTTGTGGGCACAGCCTGGTCCAAAGGTGAGACATAATGTTCAAATGAGCATCCTTCAAGGTACATCTACAAAGTAGGGTGTGCTTGTTAATGTTCTGAAGAGTCCTCCCATTGGCACATAATGTTCCCCATGACTGTTCGTCTCAACAAGAGTTTCCTTCTTTGCAAGACTGTCAGAAAAGGGAATACATTCATGGATTTCATGGCATAATTGATCAGATGTCCAGGCTCTGGGAAGGAACGTCCTTACGTAACCCTCACATGAAATAAGAAGGGTACATAAGAACACTCCTCCCAAGATATTGGCAAACAAAGTATATGGCAGCCAAAACTATAAAAGGATGAAAACATTGAAGTGGCAAACCCTATGAGCCAAAGTCCACTTGATGCTTTGCGGGCTCCAAGGCAACATGGAAGGGGATTTCACTGGGAAAGAAATGTACCATCTGAATTTTGATCCCAAAGGTTATTTCAGTATGTACAAGAACTTTGGCCTGGGAATCTCTCCAGGAAATGATGAGAGGATACGCTTCATTCTGGAGCATCTCCACAAGACATTTGCACATGGTGAGTGTGACTGGGCTTCTTCCGTCGGAGTGGGATGCTCTCTGAGGTTATCTCAGTGTGGCATTTGCAAAGGGGTGGGTGAGTACAAGAGGTGTTCTGGGCAGTTCAACTGGTGTAGATCAGCCTTGCCATCATCTTCACCCAGCAAAGGATGGTGCTGTGGAGGAGGAGGAAGAGGAGGAGGAGGAGGAGAAACTTTGCATAATGTGTGAGTGAGGTTCAACAGCGGACTTGCTTCCCATCCCTATCCTTCTACAGCCTTCCATTGCACCCCAAAGAACTCCATAGGGTCTGCATCACACACATGCACACCCCATGCCAGTCTATATGTTTATCCCTCTAGCACAGAGGTCCTCAAACTTTTTAAACAGAGGGCCAGGTCACAGTCCCTCAAACTATTGGAGGGCCGGATTATAATTTGAAAAAAACATAAGTGAATTCCTATCCACACTGCACATATCTTAATTGTAGTGCAAAGAACACTTAAAAACAAAAGAATAATTAAAATGAAAAATAATATTAACAAATATAAGCTTATTAGTATTTCAATGGGAAGTGTGGGCCTGCTTTTGGCTGATGAGATAGCATTGTTGTTGTTGTTGTTGTTGTGTGTTTTCAAATTGTTTCAGATTAGGTTGACCCTGAGCGAGGGCCGGGTAAATAACCTTAGAGGGCCGCATTTGGCCCCTGGGCCTTAGTTTGATGACCCCTGCTCTAGCATAAAGAGTAGGATGTAAATGAAGCATACCCTTGGATCCTGGCTTCTATAGAGTACAGTTGGGATTGTCCTATAGAATTAATGACAACTGATCCTAGTGCCCTTCTTCAGTAGAGTGTGTTGAGGAGTAGGAAGCTTCTTGTTGGGTTTTATCTCTGACTGCAGAAGTTTCCAGCCCTCAATGAGTAGTTCTCCTAGATAGATTAGAGTGAGGGATTCCTTCCCCACATTCCCTATGCATGCCTATCTCAAGAAGGGGCTTAGAAGGGGGGGGGGGTTGTTGTACTCCTGCATGCCACTATCACCTCACTTTTGAATACCTAGCAATGTGATATCTTTGAGGGATGAGGCAATTTCCTCTTTAAAGATATTTTGATTGCCCTGGTGAGGCCATAGGGTCAATTCTCCATTTTTGGCCTCTTCCTTGCCTTTGTTCTCTTTGAGTGAGGAGGCATCTTGTCATTCTCCGGGCAAGATGTAGATTCATGGTTGCTATTTTGTTATTTATTTAATTTTCTGCCTTTTCCTTAGAAGATAGCTCAGTGAAACTAGTTCGCTCCAAGAACGTTTCCTATCCAGAATTGATTTCCTTTGACTTAATAAACTTATTTATTTATTTATTGTTTACAGCATTTTTACCCCACCCTTCCCATAAAGTTGTGCCTCTGCAATCCTGTTCCATTCTGCTGAATGGAAATTAATCCTTGCTCTCTATACATAAGCTCCTGCTAGTTATGAATTGTGCTTCTGGCACTCTGCTATATTTTGTGGAATCACCCCCAAATGAGGGTTAATTTTGGGCCGAACAGCTCTTAATTCCCAACATTTCTTGATAGCCTCATCTCATATAGCAGTGTTTCTCAACCTTCCTCATGCTGCGACCCCTTAATACAGTTCCTCATGTTGTGGTGACCCCAACCATAAAATTATTTTCGTTGCTGGTTCATAACTGTAATTCTGCTACTGTTATGAATCATAATGTAAATATCTGATTTACAGGATGCTTTTTTCATATACTGGACCAAATTTGGCACAAATATCCAATACGCCCAAATTTGAATACTGGTGGGGTGGGGTGGGGGGTTGATTTTGTCATTTGGGAGTTGTAGTTGCTGGGATTTATACTTCACTTACAATCAAAGAGCATTCTGAACTCCACCAATGATGGAATTCAACCAAAGTTAGCACACAGAACCCCCATGACCAAGATAAAATACTGGAGGGTTTGGTGGGCATTGACCTTGAGTTGTGGAGTTGTAGTTCACCTATATCCAGAGAGCACTGTGGACTCAAAAAATGATGGATCTGGACCAAACTCAATACTCAACATGCCTAAATGTGAACACTGCTGGAGTTTGGGGAAAATAGACCTTGACATTTGGGAGTTGTAGTTGCTGGGATTTATAGTTCACCTACAATCAAAGAGCATTCTGAACCCCACCAACTATAAAATTGAGCCAAACTTTGCACACAGAACTCCCATGACTAAGATAAAATACTGTATTTTCTGATGGTCTTTGGTGACCCCTCTGACATCCCTTTGTGACCCCCCCCTTGGGGTCACGACCCCCAGGTTGAGAAACGCTGTCATATAGGAAGAGCACTGGGAATCCTCTTTCAGAAGCAGAAAACCCAGGGCTGGCACCAGTCAAAGCGCTTTACCTCCCCATCAAAAGAGAAAGACAGTTTCTTCCGTCACCTTTTTCCAAAGTTGTTTTACCTCCTGACACATCCACCAAAAATGGAAGAAGGTGGCTTTCTGCACTTTACAAGAAAGTAGTAAAGTGATTTTTTAAAAGTTCAAGAAAAACCCAAAAAGAGTAAAGACGATGTTGGAATTTGCCAATATAGTTTTGTGGCTATGAGAATGACAATATCAAGGTCTTGGAAGGGGTGGAAAACAACTACTCATTAAGAATTGGAGAAGGAAATTGGTTGAGTAGATGGCCAAGCTCTCCAATGGCATACGGGGAAGACACAATGAAGGGCTTGTGAGAAAAGGGAGAGGTGCTTTTAGGTATTTAAACAAGAAGACAAACATAGATTTTTAAATAGCCACATAAGGAATTTATTAATGAAAGGATAAGGATATAGTTTTAGATCCATATGGGGTGTTTTTGGAAGGTTCACGGGTGGGGATAGGGACGTGGTGAGGCTAGGGAAATAATAGGTTTACGGCGTTCCCTTGCTACTTCATGGTTCACTTTCCACAGACTCGCTATTTTGTGGTGTGTGTATATATGTGTGTGTGTGTGTATCTCAAGAGAACACTGTAGCAAGGAGGGAAGAAGAGCTGTCCCCTCACCCTCTTTTCCTTCATCTTCCTCTTTCTTGTTGCCTCCTGGTCTTTTTGCCGCTACTTGGGCCCCACAATTGAGGAGGCGGTGGAGGTGGTGTCCCTACTTCACAGTTTTTCACTTATCGTGGGTGGTCCTGGAACATAACCTCCATGATAAGTGAGGGAACCCTGTATCTCGATTGTTGAAGTTTGAATATTGTGTGTTTATTTTTCTTCATATACCACAATTAAAATGCATACAAAAAAACAGATTTATTTATCGTGTCAGGGGCAACCAGACCATTGTATTACATTTCTAACAGAACAAAACAAACAAACAAACAAACAAAACACAAAGGTTGCAAGCTTGGTAGTTGATTAAATGTCCTTTGACCAGTAGCTGGTGCTTCTGGTGTTGCCGCAAGAAGGTCCTCCAATGTGCATGTGACAGGGCTCAGGTTGCATTGCAGCAGGTGGTCAGTGGTTTGCTCTTCTCCACACTCGCATGTCGTGGATTCCACTTTGTGGCCCCATTTCTTAAGGTTGGCTCTGCATCTCGTGGTGCCAGAGCGCAGTCTGTTCAGCACCTTCCAAGTCACCCAGTCTTCTGTGTGCCCAAGGGGGAGTCTCTCATTTGGTATCAGCCATGGGCTGAGGTTCTGAGTTTGAGCCTGCCACTTTTGGACTCTTGCTTGCTGGGGTGTTCCAGTGAGTGTCTCTGTAGATCTTAGAGAACGATTTCTTGATTTAAGTCATTGATGTGCTGGCTGATACCCAAACAGGGGATGAGCTGGAGATGTCTCTGCCTTGGTCCTTTCACTATTGGCTGCTACTTCCCAGCGGATGTCAGGTGGTGCTATACCGGCTAGACAGTGTAATTTCTCCAGTGGTGTAGGGCGCAGACACCCCGTGATAATGCAGCATGTCTCATTAAGAGCCACATTCACTGTTTTAGCGTGGTGAGATGTATTCCACACTGGGCATGCGTTCTCAGCAGCAGAGTAGCATAGCGCAAGGGCAGACGTCTTCACTGTGACTGGTTGTGATCTGTCTTCGTAGATGGCTGATTCTCTCACTCCAGAAGCAACCAGAAGTGACCTGCAGCATGCAAGCAAGCAAGCAAAACAACCAACGGACCTTTTCAGGACCAACCATGACAAAAAACAGAAAGAAAGAGGGAAAATGGGGTGTAGAAAGTGAGGAGTGAATTGTTGGAGTTAACTTCTGGGAAGAGCGCTGGCCATCATATTAAAGAATCGGGGAGCTGCACATCAAAGTGATTGACTTGCTTGATTGCTCCAAAAGAGACCATCATCCAAACAGTGTGGGTCAGGGGTGGGAAAGTGGAGGAAGTGGAGAGTTAATCCAAAGACACAGGGATTCTCACAGTGTTTCTCCAACACAGATGGCATCCGAGGAGACACCCTGATCGACATCGGCAGTGGTCCTTCCATCTACCAGCTCCTCTCCGCCTGTGAGTCCTTCAAGGAAATCATTGTCAGTGATTTAGTTGAGAAGAACCGGGAGGAGATGCAGAAGTGGCTGAGGAAGGATCCAAACGCATTCGACTGGACCCCCATCGTCAAATACGTCTGTCAGCTTGAGGGGAACAGGTACGGAGAGATAGCTTCATTAATCAAAGGAAAAGAAAGTTTGTGGTTCTCCAGATATTTTGGATTGCAGTTCCCAGCATGCCCCACCATTGGCAGTGCTGCCTAGGATCAGCCAGACTTTTGATACAATTACCAAGGCATACCCAACCTTTCAGGCATGGGCAATCTAAGGCCTGGGCAACAGATGCATCCTCTGGGCATTTACTCAGGCCCTCCTCATTTTCCCTGTCCAGTTGGCATAAGGACACGGCACCTTCTGTGTCCTTATGCCAAAAAGACAGGGGAGGAAGGCACACCGCAGCCGAGAGCCCTCTTGGCCACCTCGTATCTCATCCTCCTCCTGGCATAAGGACAGTGTGAGTGGCCCCATTGTTTTTAGACATTTTAACTCTCTGGTTTTAATGTAATGTTTACCAACTGTAAGTTTTTGAGGCATTGAATTATCAATATGTAAAGTTGCCCTAAGTCTCCCTCGGGGTTGAGAAGGACGGGGTACAAATGTCATAAATAAATAAATAGCGCTGATCCGACTCTTGTAACCCAGACTGTCCACTCTGTTTTGAAAGAGCATTGACTTTTCATGTCACAACAGGACTGAACACCCAAAGTGAACTGGATGAATGCAGAGTTATCACACTTTCTCTTTCTACAGGTAAATCTTTTCCCCCTTTAGCTAAAAGATGCAAAATCTGGGATCTTTATCTAAATAAGTCTGCAATTTTGAGTTGTCAGTTGGTTCACTAAAGAATGCTTCTATCTCACCTCAGGCTCTTTTAGCCAAAATGTATTTCATCTCCAATCTTTGTACAGTCTATAGGGAAAGAGATGCCTTGATAGGTTTCCAAGCCTTGGAGATTGTTTACCAGTTCTGCCACAGAGCCCAATGGCTCCTATCAAACCCCAGAGAAGTACTTCCAGGGTGGCTTCTTGGCAGAACTGTCTCAAAAATCCTGCTGTTGTCGAAAAATTTATGTATTTATTTATTTACTACATTTATATACCGCCCCTCTCAGCCCAAGGGCGACTCTGAGTGGTTAACAATAGGAAACAATTTGTTCCTGTGGGATAATTCTAGTTTCTTTAACATCCTAATATCACAGTCATTTTTGGGAGCTAAGGGAGAGCTGTGTTGGCAGGGAAGGGAAAAGGTTACCTCAGAAACTCATTTTAAAATCCTAAGGCAACTTGGGTCGTGGCAGCAAGAAACCAAAAGAAGACTGGCGCAGTGTTCACTCCACCAACACACACATCAAACATCATATCGTTACCACAATATAATTCATAAGGGGGATCGCCTGGTTACGTTATACTGGTGGCAAGTGGTGAGATTCATAATAAGACAGCCCTTAATTCTTTACAGTGCTGGTTTAACCTCAGCAGACTGTTTAACCTCAGCAGACTGAAAGCCAAAACCAAAGTTACAACAACATCTGTTATAGAACTCCAGTATGCTGATGACAATGTCGTCTGTGCGCATACAGAAGAAGATCTACAAGCCACTCTCAACACCTTTGGAGAAGCATACACGAAGCTTGGCCTGTCACTGAACATCGAGAAAACCAAAGTGCTGTTCCAGCAGTCACCAGCCATCCCCTCCCCAATGCCAGAGATACAGCTTAATGGTGTAACATTAGAAAATGTTGACCATTTCCGCTACCTTGGCAGCCACCTCTCCACCAAAGTCAACATCGACGCCGAAATACAACACCGCCTGAGCTCTGCAAGTGCAGCATTTTCCGGAATGAAGCAGAGAGTGTTTGAGGACCGGGACATCCGTAGGGATACCAAGGTGCTTGTTTATAAAGCTATTGTCCTCTCAACCCTTCTCTATGCCTGCGAGACATGGACTGTCAACAGACATTACATGCAACTCCTGGAACGATTCCATCAGCGCTGCCTCCGGAAAATCCTGCAAATCTCCTGGGAAGACAAGCGGACAAACGTCAGCGTGCTGGAAGAAGCAAAGACCACCAGCATTGAAGCGATGGTCCTCCAACATCAACTCCGCTGGGCCGGCCACATTGTCCGGATGCCTGACCACCGTCTCCCAAAGCAGTTGCTCTACTCTGAACTTAAGAACAGAAAACAGAACGTTGGTGGACAGGAAAAGAGATTGAAAGATGGGCTCAAAGCCAACCTTAAAAACTCTGGCATAGACACTGAGAACTGGGAAGCCCTGGCCCTTGAGTGCTCCAGCTGGAGGTCAGCTGTGACCAGCAGTGCTGTAGAATTTGAAGAGGCACGAATGGAGGGCGAAAGAGAGAAATGTGGCAAGAGGAAGGCGTGTCAAGCCAACTCCAACCGGGACCGCCTTCCACCTGGAAACCAATGCCCTCACTGCGGAAGAAGATGCAGAGCAAGAATAGGGCTCCACAGCCACATACGGACCCACAGGGAAACCCATGATGGAAGACCATCTTACTCGTCCAACGAGGGATTGCCTAAGGTGTGATCTAGAATAGTATATGTATAAACCCCGTGAAATCCTTTATAGTTGCCAAACTCCTTGCGCCTACTATTTTCCAAGGCCTCTCTCAGCCTGACTGGTAGGGAATTCACTTCACATGGATAGTGACGACAATGTATCTTTATTTTGATTTGCATTGCAAACTCATATTGAAGTCCACAAAAGCTTTACGTCGTCGCCACTTTGTAGTTTTTGCTGCCCTGATTCAGTACTATTAAGGGCCAACCATAGGTATTTGTTAGTTGCAGGCAACATCCCTAGGATTGTAATAATCCCGTACCTTGGCCACGGTAGTCCATGCTCTAGTTACATCCCGTATAGACTACTGCAATGTTCTCTATGTGGGGTTGCCTTTGAAGACTGTCCAGAAGCTTCAACTAGTCCAACGATCAGCAGCCAGGTTGGTAACAGGAGCGGCGCTCAGGGAGCATACAACCCCCTTGTTGCGCCAACTCCACTGGCTGCCAGTTTGCTACCGGGCCCAATTCAAAGTGCTGGCTTTGGCCTATAAAGCCCTAAACGGTTCTGGCCCAACTTACCTGCCTGAACATATCTCCCCTTACAAACCACTGAGGACTTTAAGATCATCTGGGGAGGCCCTGCTCTCGGTCCCGCCTTCATCACAAGCATGTTTGGCAGGGATGAGAGACAGGGCCTTCTCAGTGGTGGCCCCTCGGCTATGGAATGCCCTCCCTAGGGAAATCAGATCTGCTCCCTCCCTCTTGACATTTCGGAGGCAAGTTAAAACGTGGCTATTCGAGCAAGCGTTTACAAATACAGAGTAGCTAATATAGGAAATCGAATGACCTGACCATGGAATTGGACAATGCTTGAGAATAATGAGGTGCTGATGATGTTGCTTTTATTGCTTTTATGATGTCTTATACTGTTTAATGTTTTTTTATCTATATTATGTTTTATGTATACTGATTTGTTGGAAACCGCCTTGAGTCGCCAATTGGCTGAGAAAGGCGGTATTCTCTCTTTTCCTTTTGCTATATTTTAAGTTTTATGAAAATCTCAATAAAGAATATTTAAAAAAAAATACAGTAAATAAATAAATATTTATTTACTGTTTACAGAGAAATACAGAGAAATACTAAAAGTCAAACAAGGGGCGGTAGAAATAAAAGAACAACAGGAATTAATTTTAATTGACAAAAATATAACATGGTTGCAGTATTGGCAAATCAAAGAGAAATTTAAATTAGATAGGAAATTAGTAGGGCTGGGCGGTTTCGTTTCGTTAATTCGTAATTCATTAATAATTCGTTAATTTTTTCAATTACAAAACGATAACGAACCATTCTGGAGCAATTATTAAAAAAAACGAATTTTCAAAAACGTTTTGTAAATGCTTCGTATTTCGATATTGTATTCGTTTCGTTATTGTTTTGAGGTCGTTTCGTTATTATTTCCGCATGTCTGGGCCAGTTTTATGGTTTAATTAGTGAAAAAAATATAATATCACACCAACAGTCAACAACAGAGGGAGAGGGAAGCTTCAGAAGGTTTTGGAGGGTTTTTAGCATATTTCGCGGTCGCGTCCGCCATTAACGAATCGATTCGTTATTGTTTCGGAAATCGATTCGTTAATTTTTTACCATTTACGAAATTTCGTAAATATCGAACTTTTTAAAAGGAAAATTTTGTAATTATTTTAAATATCGAAACAAAAAAAAACCCCAAATACAAATCGATTTTAGAAACAAATTTTTCCGTTGTTACCCAGGCCTAGAAATTAGGTTTCGCACAAGGCAACGAATTCTGGGATAACATCACGGAAACAGAAAGGAAATTAATAACTAAGTTATACAAAAAATTGTTAGAATGGCATTCGGAACAAAAGGAGGAGAAAAATTACATGAGAAGATGGAACGAAAATATACAAAGAAATATTAGAAAGGAAGAATGGAAGGAAATTTGGAGAAAAAGATTAAAGTTCACATATGCAATAGAGCTTAGAGAAAATTGGGTAAAAATATCGCAAAGAGGGTACCTGACACCGAAAAAAATAGGTAAAATATATAACAATACGAGCACGGCCTGCTGGAAATGCAGGAGTAAAGAAGGGTCCTTTTTTCATGCATGTTGGACGTGTGATAAAGCAAGAAAATTTTGGAGGAAAATGCCTAAGGAAATTCAAATTATGTTAAAAAAATACAGTTTCCCTTGAAGGCAGAGATATTTCTGCTAGGGATGTATGACGGAAAACTGGAGGAGAATAAAGACAAAATACTATTTCTGGCATTGACGGCAGCAAGGATGTGGTACGCCAAAGTGTGGAGGCAAGAAGAGATCCCAGAGGTAAATGACTGGGTAACAAAAATGCTGGATATTAGGAATTTAGACAAGCTAACCTTTCTATTGCTGAAGAACAAAAAAGTTAAAAGAAAAGGAATGGATTGGAGTGAAGTCACAGAATACTTAAAAAAGAAGAAAGAAGAAATAGTAATTTAAGAAGTACAAATAAAGACTGAATTACGTCAAAAAGAGGGAAAGAAGAAAAATAAGGACATAAATAACAAAAGGACTGAAAAGATTTCCCAAAGATACCAGGAGGGCAACTTTTAGATTTATTTTTATATATTTCTTTCTTTCTTTCTTTCTTTCTTCCCTCTTTTTCTATTTCTTTTGTTTCTCTCTTTTCCTTTTGCTATATTTTAAGTTTTATGAAAATCTCAATAAAGATTTTTTTTAAAAAAACAAATACAGTAAATAAATAAATAAATAAATAATGATTGCTTAAAACAAACTGTTTCAAGTTCTCTCCCAAATCCCCCCGTTTGTTCCTTGCAGGGAGACGTGGCTGGAAAAAGAAGAGAAGCTCCGGAGGACCGTCAAGCAAGTCCTGAAATGCAACGTGACTTTGGCCAACCCTTTCGATCCTTTGGTGGTCCCTCCGGCCGATTGTGTCCTCTGCTCTTGCTGCCTGGAAGCAGCTTCCAAAGATTTTCCTGCTTATCGCTCAGCCATGAAGAATGTGGCCTCCGTGGTCAAACCTGGAGGTCACTTTATCTTCGTGATACCAATTGGAGCCACCTACTACGTGGCCGGGCAAAGCAAGTTCACCAACCTTTGCGTGACTCCAGAGATGGTCAAAGTGGCTGTGAAAGAGGCCGGTTTTGAAATTGTACACTTTGAGAATCTCATTGTGGATTTTCCAGTGGAGCTGAGTGATACCAAGAGTTTTGGTTTTCTGGTAGCCCAAAAGTGCAACAAAGCCTAGGTGGCCTTTGGGAAAGTGAAGGAGTGACCCTTTGAGGGAATCCTGAACAGATAAACAATGCTCTCACACTTCAAGGTGGTGACCACTAAATCGGACCCACACAATCAGAAAAAGTTTGTAAATGCCAGCTTTTGGGGAACGCCGCTCCCAGAAGCCTCCCTCTCCCAAAGCTAGCATAGAAAGTTGGGATTCTGGGTCTTTATTTTGATTGGATTTCCATCCCTTCTTTTCCCCAAATGGGACCCAAAGCTGCTTGCAATACAAATTAAGATTGAGGTCCACAAAGGTCTTACACCAAATCATTTTTGTTCATCTCTCCTTCATTGTTTGCATGCTGCAAGTCACTTCTGGTTGCTTCTGGAGTGAGAGAATCAGGCGTCTACAAAGACCTAGCCCAGGGAACGCCCAGATGTCTTGCAATCCTACGAGGAGGCTTCTCTCATGTCCCCCCTCAGCAAGCGAGAGTCCAAAAGTGGCAGGCTCAAACCCAGAGCCTCAATCCATGGCTGATACCAAATGAGAGACTCCCTCCTGGGCACATAGAAAACTGGGCGACTTGAAAGGCGCTGAACAGACTGCGCTCTGGCATCGCAAGATGCAGAGCCAATCTTAAGAAATGGGCCCACAAAGTGGAATCTATGACATGTGAGTGTGGAGAAGAGCAAACTACAGACCATCTGCTGCGATGCAACCTGAGCCCTGCCATATGCACAATGGAGGACCTTCTTATAATAACACCAGAGGCACTCCAAGTGGCCAGATACTGGTCAAAAGACATTTAATCAACTACCAAGCTTGCAAACTTTGTGCTTTGTTTGTTTGTTAAAAATGCAATACAATTGTTTGATGTGCTCCTGACATGATAAATAAATAAATCTCTCCTTCATGGTTTTTGCTGCCCTGAGGGCCAAGTCTTCTCTGTTCCCACTCTATCCATATTAAGGGCTAACCAGTTCCATTTCTCAAAAGAACACTGGTTGTTTCTGCACTTATCAGGCAACGTGGCTCATATTTCACTTCTTCAGCAACACAACTTCATCTCCCCTCGGTTCTGCTCAAGGAAATTGGTGACGATGATCTCCTTGAAGGACTCACAGGTGGGAAGGAGCTGGTGGATGGAGGCTCCACTTCCAATATTAATCAGGGTGTCTCCACGGATGCCGTCTGTGTTGCAAAGTATTGGGGAATCTGCACAAAGGAACCACACACACACACAAACACACACACACACCTTCCATCTCCTACTTCTGAGGCTTTCTTCCATCACGCTCTCCCTCTTTCCTGCTTGTCCATCCCATCTGGAAGGGGAGCATCATTTAGAGGATGTTAAGTCTATCTCCTCCCTTCTATTGTTTATTTATGTATTTACTACTACCCTGCCACATGTTGCCGTGGCCCTCATGGGGGTTCTGTGTGGGAGGTTTGGCCCAATTCTAACGTTGGTGGGGTTCAGAATGATTTTCAATTGTAGGTGAACTATAAATCCCAGCCACTACAACTCCCAAATGTCAAGATCTATTTCCCCCAAACTCTACCAGTGTTCACATTTGGGCATATTGAGTATTCGTGTAGAGTTTGATCCAGATCAATCATTGTTTGAGTCCACAGTGATATCTGGATGTAGGTGAACTACAACTCCAAAACCAAAGGACACTGCCCACCAAACCCTTCCAGTATTTTCTGTTGGTCATGGGAGAACTGTGTGCCAAGTTTGGTTCAATTCCATCGTTGGTGGGGTTCAGAATGCTCCTTGCTTATAGGTGAACTATAAATCCCAGCAACTACAACTTTTTTGAGTGAAGCACATACATTGGGTTGTTAGGTGTCTTGTGTCCAAATTTGGTGTCAATTTGTCCAGTGGTTTTTGAGTTAATCCCACAAACGAACATTACATTTTTATTTATATAGATATTTACTATATTTGTATATCGCTTTTCTCAGCTGTTGTGTGACTCAAAGCAGTTAACAATAACAAAATTCAATGCTCAAAACAACATAAAACAGTTAAAAGCAATTAAAACAGTAGCATATTAAACAATCAAGTATACATCAATAAACATCTTGTTAGCATCTCATAATTAGAATCAGGATCCAGTTTCATCATCCAATTAGGTTCTTGTGGGTTTTTTCGGGCTATAGGGCCATGTTCTAGAGGCATTTTCTCCTGACGTTTCGCCTGCATCTATGGCAAGCATTCTCAGAGGTAGTGAGGTCTGTTGGAATTGGGAAAATGGGTTTATATATCTGTGGAATGACTGGGATGGGGCAAAGAGCTCTTCTCTGCTGGAGCTAGGTGTGAATGTTTCAGCTGACCACCTTCATTAGCATTTGAAGGCCTGGCTGAGCCTGGAGGAATCTTTTGTTGAGAGGTGTTAAGATGTGCCTGGTTGTTTCACCATCCAATTGTTCCATATTCCTATATTCTTTACACTGCCCATTCAAATGCCTACTCAAACAATCAGATCTTCACTTTCCTCTGGAATGATAACAAAGAAGGGGCCAATCTAATATCTGTAGGAAGGGTGTTCCACAGCCGAGGGGCCATCACTGAGAAGACCCTGTCTCTTGTCCCTGCCAGACGTACTTGTGACGCAGGCGGGACCGAGAGCAGGGCCTCTCCAGACGATCTTAATATCCTAGTTGTCGCAACTATCAAACTGGGGTTCCAAACATTCAATACCTTTCTGCGGAAGTTGCACCCTTCGTCCAAGGAGGAAAAACCCAACCAAAACAACTGTCTATTAGCAAAGAAAAGTTTATATGACAGTATTTACAAATAAATCAGAGTCCTTGGAATATCCAACTGTTTCCACACAATGGCTTGTAAACACAAAGTCCTTATCTCCAGATAAGAAGCAACAGTCTTGCTCTTCAGATGTTGTAGCAATAATATTTATTTAATGTATTGTTGAAGGCTTTCATGGCTGGAATCTAGAGGCATTTTCTCCTGACATTTCACCTGCATCTATGGCAAGCATCCTCAGAGGTAGTGAGGTCTGTTGGAACTAGGAAAATGGGTTTATATGTCTGTGGAATGACCGGGGTGGGGCAAAGAGCTCTTCTCTGCTGAAGCTAGGTGTGAATGTTTCAACTGACCACCTTCATTAGCATTTGAAGGCCTGGCTGAACCTGGGGGAATCTTTTGTTGAGAGGTGTTAAGATGTGCCTCGTTGTTTCCTCTCTGCTGTTTTGCTGTTGTAATTTTAGAGTTTTTTAAGACTGGTAGCCAGATTTTGTTCATTTTCATGGTCTCTTCCTTTCTGTTGAAATTGTCCACCTGCTTCTTGTGGATTTCAATGGCTTCTCTGTGTAGCCTGACATGGTGGTTGTTGGAGTGGTCATCTTTATGTCAGGAGAAAATGCCTCTAGAACATGGCCATATAGTTCGAAAAACCCCACAAGAACCTAATATTTATTTATTTATTTATTTAGAACTTTTTAAAAAATGATTTTTATTGAATTTTATTTGGTACACTTGTATACCGCTAATTTCTCAGCCTAGAACGGCGACTCAATTGCGGTTTACAGCATTTTAAAAACAATCTCAGTTTAAAAAACATATACAAATACAATAACAAATTATTGGGCCACCAATAATAATCCCATATATCTCAAGTTAAAATCACAATCCAGAGTTCGTTGTCCATATTTCCTGTCCATAGTCACCAAGATTCGATTTAATTGCCACAGATTAGCCGAATGCTTGTTTGAAACAACCATGTTTTTAATCTCTTCCGAAACACCATCAGCGAGGAGGCTGATCGTACCTCTATAGGGAGGGCGTTCCAAAGCCGAGGGGCCACCACAGAAAAGGCCCTGTCTCTCGTTCCCGCCAGCCGCACTTGTGAAGCTGGCGGGATAGAGAGCAGGGACTCTCCAAAAGATCTTAGGGTCCTGGTGGGCTGATAGGCTGAGATACGTTCGGATAGATAAGTTGGGCCAGAACCGTTTAGGCAAAGTATACATTAAAATAACATTGAGAAAACAGGGGGGGGGGATGAAAAGAGGGGGAAATACGAAAAAAGATTGAAAGAAAGAAAAGAAGAGGAAAAAAAGCAGGAAAAAACACACCCCACCCACAACACAGCCCACACACACAGCCCATCAAACAACCCACAAAGACCTACACTCTAAAGTGACCTCCATTCTTCTTACTTTATTAAGTCCTCTATATTTCTATTCTTTCTCTCTCTTTTCTTCTTCCCTCCTTAGTGATTATTGATGTCCAGAGAGAAAGAGTCTTGTATGTTCTTTCTATCTCTCTTATTTCATTAACCAGCATTTTCTTTCTATATATTCCTGTAGAACTGTCCAATCTATTTATTTAGAACCTCCGTGGAAGGACTCAGGCCAGTTTCCAACAATAATATCACAAGCAATCATTTAGAAACATCACATTCCGTAATACACCAACACATTAAAATACCAAAAATACAATCATATAATTACAATGGCCAAGTCGTCACAATAAAATCGTTGTTCATCACCATCCATCCATATAGCCACGAGTTATTGACTCACTCGTCAAATGCCAGTTTCCAGAGTCAGGTTTTCACCTGTTTTCTAAAAGTCAGGAGAGAAGGGGCAGTTCTAATCTCCAGTGGGAGGGAGTTCCAGAGCGAGGGGCCACCACCGAGAAGGCCCTGTCCCTCGTCCCCACCAGACACACTTGTGAGGCTGGTGGGACCAAGAGCAGGGCCCCTCCAGACGATCTTAACAATCTTGATGGTTCATAGGGGAGAATCCGTTCAGACAGGTAATACACCTCCCAGCAACTCCAGTCTTGGGCTTCAAACTCTCTCCAGTCTTCAAGCCTTTCTCCAACCTATTTCCAGCCTCAAGTAACACAGTGCACTTAGTCTCTATTAGTAGTACTTCAGTTCCCACAGGTGGCTTGATTGTTGCTGGCCATACAATGATTGGACATGATTCTTACAATCACTTACCCATTTTTCACTTTAGAAATGACCTAAACAATATAGAACTCTGACACTAGTGGGTTCATTAATTTCCACCAACCTTTCCCCATCTCAGGACATCTCTACTGCCTGAACATCAAGCAAAAAGTGGGC